TAATTAATTATATAAAACACATTTAAGGTAATTTACTTTGTATTCTGCAGTGGTTTACTGTTGAAATTATATAAACATCTTATGCATGTTGTGGTCAATTTATAATGGTTAAGTCTGTCTGTCTGTCTGTCTGTCTGTCTGTCTGTCAACATGGCCTAGCTGTCTCTTATAGACATTTACTGTAGCCTATAATAAATTGTGTGTGTGTGTTTGTGTGTGCGTGTACCTGAGTATGCGTGTGTGTGTGCGCGCGCGCGTAAATCACAGAGAGCTGCGGGGCAATGCTGAGAGATTGTTTCTTTAAGACCCATTACCTTCCAATCCGACAGAGGGGGAGGCTATGGTAAGGTGGTGTAGCGCCGCTCCCCGCTCCCTTATGCTGTTTACATGTGCAAAGGAGAGAGACAGGGGGAACCATATATCTGGGTATTTGAATGCAGCACAGCCACAGAGGCAAAATCCGCGGAGATGGGTCCGAGAAATATTTAACATCAGATTTGGACAATATGAGCATCACACGATGACTATGGTAAGGCGGAACTTCCACCGCCCCTCGCAACCCATTTTCTTATGGCATGAAAAGAGAAGAGTGTGTGAAAATGTGTGTGCGTTTTTGTGTAGCCGATAACCAGTTAGCCTATGTTTATTGTGTTGTCAGGAAGGTAGGGGAATACAGGCGGGAGGTAAATAAATAAAATAAACGATGCAATGCTCGATAATGTCAGGCATTGAGAGGTGCGTTAGCAACACACACCACAATTTATTTAGGGCTCGCACGAGAGCGAGAGAGAGAGAGCGAGAGAGAGAGAGAGAGAGAGAGAGAGAGAATATAGCCTACATATAACGTATATGTAGCCTACGCATTGCCAAGTTTATTATAAGCCTATAATAAACTAATAAACTGTAGCATATAAGCTACCGTTATTAAGCAACGATTTCCAAGAATGTTCTGATAACCATTATTTTAGTGGTTTTCTCTCTTGTTTGTCTCTGGACTAAATTGTATCCAAAATGTGTGACATACATTTTGGTTTCCGTTCAGCGTATTTCTGACGTGCGGTTCTCCATAAACTGAGTAGCCTATATCTTATGCCATGATGAAAGTTAACCATCGAGATATCTTCCTGCAAACTGTGGATGTTTTTATTAACATTCAGGAATGTCTCTAGTTGTGTGGGGCTGTGTGTGTGTTTTATCAAATAGTATTTTTCAAAACTGGAAGTAGCCTATAGCTGTCATCTACAAACGCCTCATTTTCAGCACTGAAACATGGTCGGGGATACGATTAAAGGCATGTTTGATTGGTTTTCTTTCCTTTGATTCTGTCTCACTCTGCCCAGCTGCCGACAATCAGTTATTGATTCTAATGATGCGTTTCTTTGAATGAGATGGATGGAAATAGGTTAGTTGTGTTCGCTATTGTGAATAATGTGGCACAGGACAAACCGCCGCTGTCTCAGTCATCATTAATGTGTAAACATTTAAAATAGATAATTTTATGTGTGTGTAAATGCTGAGTAGCCTATATAAGACAACATTTATGTTGAACAGATCATGCCCCACTTTCTTCCAATGTCAGCAATAGTGAAAGCCTTGAGCCACACTCCCCTCTCCACCCCAATGTCTGGTGAACAGCGCTGTTAATGCTGCCTTGCTCCTTCCTTCCTCGTCTCTCTCTCTCTCTCTCTCTCTCTCTCTCTCTCTCTCTCTCTCTCTCTCTCTCTCTCTCTCTCTCTCTCAAACGTTTCATATTATCCTTATTAGTCCCCCATTCATGGATAGCTGCTTTTTTAGTAACCTAATACTGTACAAGATTGGGGCCTGCTACTAATTGGCCATATAGAGAGCAACCCTGAGATAGCCTACTACTCTGGGCTGGGAAGAACAACCACAACCATGTCAGGAATGTGAGAGCTATGGGGTGTTGACAGAGATGATGAGGGTGATGGCAAGTATGATGATAAATAGTATATAGAGATCATTTGGTAACTGTTCAATGATGCAGTATTAGTCCACATTGCATATTAGTCAGTGTGTCAGGTGCAAACAAGACATTGTGCTAGATGACCAACTAGCTTTCAGAAGCTGAGTACACCTAAAATCAGCTGCCTCTATAGTCCTAATCTTGCCATGAAAAATGACGGAATTGGTATCACAAGCCCAATTATCTTTGACTCTATACAATAATTTGTCCATAATTCGGGACTTTGTTTGTCTTGAGAGGTTTGTCGCCTTTGTATCCTTGTGTCAACTGTTTGTATGGTCGTTAACATGTTTGAATAGCCTACCCCACAAAGATAATGAAAATACTACTACGTTACTATTGGGAGTATATTTTGTGGAAAGGCTTGGGCCACGTATAGTCCTTGTCCAGAAGTGCAGGGGCTTAAAGTGTCACATTGCCTGGTTGTCCAGTCTGTTTGTGCTTTGATCATATGGCAGTGTTCTACATTGCTTATGAATATGTTTCTGTAAATATCCATATCTCTAGTCCTCTGTCTCTCTAGTCCCCTGTACAGGCAGTGCACTGGCCATCACTAAGTTCCCCTACCTCAGAGCTGAATCAGGTGTGTCAGTGCTGGGCTGGAACAAAAGCCTGCACACCTAGTAGCTCTTCAGGACCAGGGTTGGAGACCACTGCCCGTACCAGTAAAAGGATGGCATGAGAGACGGCCTTGGTGGTCCTCCTTAGCACTCCTGGATGAGATGGAAGATACTGATATAGCAGCAGCAGTAACCCAGGTGCAGTAGGTGCTGGGTGGGTTACAGTTTGCCAGACATCCTCTTCCTGGCAGGTCATGGAGGGAATGCTATAATGGATACCCAGACTGACTCATGGTTCTGATGGCCTGACTTGCCCTATCTACAGCCACCACATCATGTATTGAAATGTAACAATGGTCCTAGACCAGTGTTCTTCCTTACTGGTCCTGGATGGGGACTCACAGTGCGTGCAGGCTTTTGATCTATTCCAGCACTAACACACCAGTTTCCAGACCCCGATTTATTAAATCAAGTATGTGTTAGGAAGGGGCAGGGACAAAAGCCTGCACACCCTGTGGGTGCCCAGGACCAGGCTTAAAGAAAAACACTGATCTTTCCTTAGATCGCTATTTTAGGCCTATCCTCTCTGTTCACAAACCTAAACTGGACAGGTGTGGGAAATAAGCTTGAAACCTTATCCAGTCGCCTTATTGATCCGTGATCATTAAATAAATATAAAGAAAGGAAGGGTTTGTAAAGTATTGGGACACAGGCTGGGAGTTGTAGTCTTCCCAGACAGCCCATTGTTGTTACTGTACCACTAGTAGTCTCTCTCGAAAAGACTACAGAACCACTAGGTGCCGGTCTGCTCCCCAGTCCGGAGAGGTGAAGATCTGGAACTGGGGATGTCTTCCGGCCTTTAGATTAGGTTACGTAGGTCCGTGTGGTCTCAAAAGCCTGCACACTCTGTGTCTCCCTGGGACCAGGATTGAATCAAATAATCAGCCATTTTTTCAAAACTTGATTAGCTGAATCAGGTGTTTTAGTGCTGGGCTGCAAGAAAAAAAGCTTGCACACACTTTGTTTGTTTAATCACAGAGAATAAACTAATATGTATAACACACTAGATGTGGTCAATATCTGGGTCATGTTCAGTAGGGAGAAAACATTTTGAAATGGGGAGGTAACACCAGTAAGAACACAGATTGTTTTGTTTTCCAGTGTAAAACATTTGCAAACACGTGCCCTGCTGAACACGACCCAGGTCCTGCACCTATATTTCATTACATATTTGGAGTCATTATCTGTCCATGTTTGAGAGGTGCTTGAGATTACTACACTTACAGTACATCAAGTTACAGTACAGGTTTCTGTTGTTGAATTACATTTTACATTTGAGTCATTTAGCAGACGCTCTTATCCAGAGCGACTTACAGTTAGAGAGTGCATACATTTTTCATACAGTAGTGGTAGTACTGGCCTAGCTTGTCTTTCCTATGTTGTATACAGTGTGTTAACTGAGGTGTGCCTAATGAGACACTTTGTCTATCTTTATTTCTTTCAGCTATCGCTCTGGGTGCTGTGAAGACCCAACCAGTTGATCCAGTCAGAAGGTGGGCCTTCCTCTATCCCTTCCTTTCCTCCAGCCCCTCCCCTTCCTCACCCTCAACCAATGCTAGACTCCCACCACAGCCCAGATTCCCATAGATACTTCCTCCTTCGGTCATTCGAGAGCACATAGATCAGGGATCATCAACTAAATTCAGCCGCGGGCTGATTTTTTCTTGAGTGGATGGTCAGGGAGCCAGAATTGACCGCAAAAAGCCAAAATAGACATAACATTTGACTAAAACATAATAATTTCAAACCTTGCTTACATTTGTATATGATCACATATATCTCTCTATTATGCGTGGGAATACTTTGGAGCAGATTTCCTAAATTAAAATCACTTTTAGCTGATTTGCTGGTGTTTTTACAGTCTTTCATGTCAAATTTTTAAAAGAAACTATTTTCTTTGCTCAGAAACCTTGGAGGGCCAGCTTGGAGGGCCAAATAATATGACTCGCAGGTCAAATTCGTCCCAGTTGGGGAACCCTGACATAGATCCTTCCTGGTAAACAAAACCCAGGTTGTTGCACAGTAAGAAAAAAGCAGCGAGAGAGAAAAGTGCACTAGGCCTATTTGTTAGTGTTGTTTTGGAGAGAATAAGTAAGGCAATAGATGGAATCAGAAGGAGTGAAAAGGAAGCGTCAAACATGACCGATTGAAAACTATTTTTGACAAAGAATTAAAGGAACGATTTCTCTTTTTTATATACTGTCATTTCAGTCAGAGGTGGACAGACTCAAACAGAAGATCTTGTTCAAGTAACAGAGACATTCTGTCAACGAATCACACGTACACACACTTTGACCCACGGAACACCTGCACATAGGGCTGCACACAGGGCTTTTGGGTAAACGCAAACTCCCAACATAGACGTTTTCTCCCAGAACACGCCACACACTCTCCAGTCTCATGATGATGTGCGAGGTGATGCCCACCATTTCGGAGGATGGGCGCGGTGGAGGCCTCTCCTCTCCTGGGGTCGGGGCTGGGGGCCCTGGTGGAGCCATGGGGGGAGGGGGCTACGGTGGCCGAGGAGAATCAAGGGGTGGGGGTGACGAGGGGGGCAGCACAGGGAACCTGGAGTCCCTGATGGTCAACATGCTGACCGAGAGGGAGAGGCTGCTGGACAGCCTAAGGGAGACCCAGGACAGCCTTGGGACGGCCCAGCTACGCCTCAGAGAGCTAGGCCACGAAAAGGACTCCCTCTCGAGACAGCTGTCCATCGCCCTGCCACAGGTATGGTAGTGTGTGTGTGTGCGTGTGCGTGTGCCTGCATGTGTGTGTGTGTGGGGGGGGGGGGGGGGGGGGGAGGGGTACAGTACGAGTGTGGGTAGAGTCAATGTATGTCCATGTGAGTATGTGGGTGTGATTGGCATGTCTGAGTGTGTATGTGTGTCTGTGCGTGCGTGTGTGTGTTTGTGTATGGTGCGTGCATGTGTGCGACTGCATGTGCGTGCTTGTCTGTGTATGCGTCAGTTGCAGAGCAAAGCTGGCTCACAATAAATTCCTGCAGTGGCAGATCAGTGTGCTCCACCATATAGAGAAAAACTATAAACTATAGAGAGGGACATCAATTAATTCCACTCCTGCCTCTTTAGAATAACCAGTCTTGTACTTACACATGGAGAGCATTTGTACTTGTGTTCCCTTTTGTCTTTTTGCTCCCTTGTGTCAGCATTTTCTTTTAGCTATTTTTCATCACAGATTGAGGGAAACATTTGTTTGTTTTTAGCACTGTAATTGGATCTGATAGGGCATTATAAAAGTAGTACTGTGTTCATATTTTTCATTAGATTGACCTTCATGGCCACCGTAGGTGAAGGCTAATCTTCTTCAGTGGGTATATTCTCCCTCAAAAATATAATATTTGAATCAGGTTCGATCAAACTTATCTTTGTTTACATATCTCCTACCTGGGCAACAGTGGCTGTTGGTGCTGTTTAAGATTAGTGAGGATTATTTTTTTTAATGAGCATGGCCTTATTTCTATTACAGCATATTGGATGACTGTCATTCACATTCTAGTCACCCAGTTCAATGTAACATCGATAGGTTTAGGCTACTACATGATACTCACATGTTCCCTATACCCATCATGAGGTTGCTACAACCTAGCCTATGAATGAAAGTTTATAACGTACAGTTGAAGTCGGAAGTTTACATACACTTAGGTTGGAGTCATTAAAACTACAACTACTCCACAAATTTCTTGTTAACAAACTATAGTTTGGGCAAGTCGGTTAGGACATCTACTTTGTGAATAACACAAGTAATTTTTCCAACAATTGTTTACAGACAGATTATTTCACTTATAATTCACTGTATCACAATTCCAGTGGGTAAGAAGTTTACATACACTAAATTGACTGTGCCTTTAAACAGCTTGGAAAATTCCAGAAAATTATGTCATGGCTTTAGAAGCTTCTGATAGGCTAATTGACATAATTTGACTCAATTGGAGGTGTACCTGTGGATGTATTGCAAGGCCTACCTTCAAATTCAGTGCCTCTTTGCTTGACATCATGGGAAAATCAAAAGAAATCAGCCAAGACCTCAGAAAAAAAATGGTAGACTTCCACAAGTCTGGTTCATCCTTGGAAGCAATTTCCAAATGCCTGAAGGTACCACTTTCACCTGTACAAACAATAGTACGCAAGTACAGTGGGGAAAAAAGTATTTAGTCAGCCACCAATTGTGCAAGTACTCCCACTTAAAAAGATGAGAGAGGCCTGTAATTTTCATCATAGGTACACGTCAACTATGACAGACAAATTGAGATTTTTTTTCTCCAGAAAATCACATTGTAGGATTTTTAATGAATTTATTTGCAAATTATGGTGGAAAATAAGTACAGTGGGGAAAAAAAGTATTTAGTCAGCCACCAATTGTGCAAGTTCTCCCACTTAAAAAGATGAGAGAGGCCTGTAATTTTCATCATAGGTACACGTCAACTATGACAGACAAAATTAGATTTTTTTTCTTCAGAAAATCACATGTAGGATTTCTAATGAATTTATTTGCAAATTATGGTGGAAAATAAGTATTTGGTCACCTACAAACAAGCAAGATTTCTGGCTCTCACAGACCTGTAACTTCTTCTTTAAGAGGCTCCTCTGTCCTCCACTCGTTACCTGTATTAATGGCACCTGTTTGAACTTGTTATCAGTATAAAAGACACCTGTCCACAACCTCAAACAGTCACACTCCAAACTCCACTATGGCCAAGACCAAAGAGCTGTCAAAGGACACCAGAAACAAAATTGTAGACCTGCACCAGGCTGGGAAGACTGAATCTGCAATAGGTAAGCAGCTTGGTTTGAAGAAATCAACTGTGGGAGCAATTATTAGAAAATGGAAGACATACAAGACCACTGATAATCTCCCTCGATCTGGGGCTCCACGCAAGATCTCACCCTGTGGGGTCAAAATGATCACAAGAACAGTGAGCAAAAATCCCAGAACCACACGGGGGGACCTAGTGAATGACCTGCAGAGAGCTGGGACCAAAGTAACAAAGCCTACCATCAGTAACACACTACGCCGCCAGGGACTCAAATCCTGCAGTGCCAGACGTGTCCCCCTGCTTAAGCCAGTACATGTCCAGGCCCGTCTGAAGTTTGCTAGAGTGCATTTGGATGATCCAGAAGAGGATTGGGAGAATGTCATATGGTCAGATGAAACCAAAATAGAACTTTTTGGTAAAAACTCAACTCGTCGTGTTTGGAGGACAAAGAATGCTGAGTTGCATCCAAAGAACACCATACCTACTGTGAAGCATGGGGGTGGAAACATCATGCTTTGGGGCTGTTTTTCTGCAAAGGGACCAGGACGACTGATCCGTGTAAAGGAAAGAATGAATGGGGCCATGTATCGTGAGATTTTGAGTGAAAACCTCCTTCCATCAGCAAGGGCATTGAAGATGAAACGTGCCTGGGTCTTTCAGCATGACAATGATCCCAAACACACCGCCCGGGCAACGAAGGAGTGGCTTCGTAAGAAGCATTTCAAGGTCCTGGAGTGGCCTAGCCAGTCTCCAGATCTCAACCCCATAGAAAATCATTGGAGGGAGTTGAAAATTCGTGTTGCCCAGCGACAGCCCCAAAATATCACTGCTCTAGAGGAGATCTGCATGGAGGAATGGGCCAAAATACCAGCAACAGTGTGTGAAAACCTTGTGAAGACTTACAGAAAACGTTTGACCTGTGTCATTGCCAACAAAGGGTATATAACAAAGTATTGAGAAACTTTTGTTATTGACCAAATACTTATTTTCCACCATAATTTGCAAATAAAATCATTAAAAATCCTACAATGTGATTTTCTGGATTTTTTTTTCTCATTTTGTCTGTCATAGTTGACGTGTACCTATGATGAAAATTACAGGACTCTCTCATCTTTTTAAGTGGGAGAACTTGCACAATTGGTGGCTGACTAAATACATTTTTTCCCACTGTATAAACACCATGGGACCACGCAGCCGTCATACCACTCAGGAAGGAGACGCGTTCTGTCTCCTAGAGATGAACGTACTTTGGTGCGAAAATCTATATCCACAGTAAAACGAGTCCTATATTGACATAACCTGAAATGCCGCTCAGCAAGGAAGAAGCCACTGCGCCACAACCGCCATAAAAAAGCCAGACTACGGTTTGCAACTGCACATGGGGACAAAGATTGTACTTTTTGGATAAATTTTCTCTGGTCTGATGAAACAAAAATAGAACTGTTTGGCCATAATGACCATCATTATGTTTGGAGGAAAAAGGGGGACGCTTGCAAGCTGAAGAACACCATCCCAACCATGACGCACGGGGGTGGCAGTATCATGCTGTGGGGCTGCTTTGCTGCAGGAGGGACTGGTGCACTTCAGAAAATAGATGGCATCATGAGGAAGGAATATTATGTGGTTATATTGAAGCAACATCTCAAGACATCAGTCAGGAAGTTAAAGCTTGGTCGCAAATGGGTCTTCCAAATGGACAATGACCCAAAGCACACTTCCAGAGTTGTGGCAAAATGCCTTAAGGACAACAAAGTCAAGGTATTGGAGTGGCAATCACAAAGCCCTGACCTCAAACCTATAGAAAATGTGTGGGCAGAACTGAAAAAGCGTGTGCGAGCAAGGAGGCCTACAAACCTGACACAGTTACACCAGCTCTGTCAGGAGGAATTGGCCAAAATTCACCCAACTTATTGTGGGAAGCTTGTGGAAGGCTACTCAAAACATTTTACCCTAGTTAAACAATTTAAAGGCAATGCTACCAAATACTAATTGAGTGTATGTAAACTTCTGACCCACTGGGAATGTGATGAAAGAAATAAAAGCTGAAATAAATAATTCTCTCTACTATTATTCTGACATTTCACATTCTTAAAATAAAGTGGTGATCCTAACTGACCTAAGACAGGGACTTTTTACTATGATTAAATGTCAGGAATTGTGAAAAACTGAGTTTAAATGTATTTGGCTAAGGTGTATGTAAACTTCCGACTTCAACTGTAGGTGCACAGGTCTAGAAACATATTGAGTAATTAAGGTGACAGACAGTGACACATTCAATACCGCCTTGCACACTCTTGCCTTCATCTAGCTGATCTAGGGTGTAATCATTAGTCCAAACAGTTGCAAATTAGAGTTTCTATTGGACAAATTCAGGTAGGTTTATCCCCATTTCATTCCGTTTGCTTCCGTTTTAAGATTTTTTTTTTTACAGAATTGGCGGAATGAATACACCCCTGATCATCCGCACACCAGTGGAGGCTGCTAAGGGGAGGACAGCTCATAATAATGGCTGGAACGGAGTAAATGGAATGGCATCAAACATCTGGAAACCAGGTGTTTGATGTATTTGATACCATTTCACTTATTCCGCTCCAGCCATTACCACGAGCCCGTTCTCCCCAATGAAGGTGCCACCAACATCCTGTGCTGCACACACAGTTCACTTTCATAGCAGCCACATACAAACAGCATCATCACTTTGCTTGTTGTATAATTCCTTCTCTCATCTACGTGCTTTTGACATTCCTCCCACTGTGTCTGCTGGGATCTTCTGTTTGGTAGTTTGCTTGTTGCAGGAGGCCAGTGGGCAGAGCTGGGAGGATTGTCAGCTGATGTGGCGCACCTGTGCAGGCTTGGCCTGCAGGCTATAAAGTGTGGCCACATCAGCCAACACGCTCTGTCCTCCATGACTGGCAGGCTGGCTTCCACCACCTTCGGGTTTTTGGTCTGTTTTCACCATACAACACCCTCTCCACTCATCCACACACTGCATACACTACTGATCTTACTGACATCCACAGCTTATGTTACATTTTTGAATTTATTATTATTTAGTTTAATAAATGTATTCCTTTTTACATTTAAGTCATGTGTGGTCTCCCTTTGTTGTTACGAACTATGAGCCAGGTTGTAACAGCTCTCTCCTCCTCTCACCTTTTCCCTTCACGTGGACTTCAGTTAATAAAACCAAAAGCTTACCTTGACTTGGAAGAGTTCCAGTGTTGGATAGCCTTAGCCAGCTAGCTAACATAAATAGCATTCCTCTCTGTTTGAGCCAGGTGTTTGAGTAGGCTAAATTAGCTAGCTGCATTAGCTAGCTAAGTAGGCTAAGTGAAAGTGAAATTGAAATAGAAAATACAACGAAATAAAGCTAGCTCTCTCTCTTGCTCTCTCTGCTGCTGCTTCTCCTTAATTTTTGAAGAAATGAATTTGTTCCAAACTGTTCAACTATTGTCTTTCTCTCTCTTTGAGTCAACTACTCACCACATTTTATGCGCTGCAGTGCTAGCTAGCTGTAGCTTATGCTTTCAGTACTAGATTAATTATCTGATTCTTAGATTGGGTGGACAACATGTCAGTTCATTCTGCAAGAGCTCTGATAGGTTGGAGGACGTGCTCTGGAAGTCGTCATAATTACTGTGTAAGTCTATGGAAGGGGATGAGAACCATGAGCCTCCTAGGTTTTGTATTGAAGTCAATGTACTCAGAGGAGGAAGGAAAATAGCTGTCCTCTGGCTACACCATGGTGCTACCCCAGAGAGTGCTGTTGAGGCTACCGTAGACCTTCATTGCAAAACAATGTGTTTTAATCAGTTATTTGGAGATGTGAATATATTTTGTATTGTTGTATCTAAAAATGATCACTTTTGAAATGTTTCACTATTTTTATTTTTATGAAATTCACTGAGTAGGATGGTCCTCCCCTTCCTCCTTTACGGAGCCTCCACTGCACACACAAAGCTTATTCTGAAAACACGATTTTTGAACGGTACCCCAATACCATTCTGTGATTTTAGATTAGAATTAGCAAGTGTGCATACAAGTACACAACACACATTAACAAAACAACACACATGTACATAAACAAAGCATACGTGAACTGTACAGTATATAGCACACAACAATGAATTGGACCGTGTGATAAAGGGTATGTTTGTATGCTACTCTTTAAATAAGAGTTCTACTGAATGGAGCCCCTAGTCTCTCAATGATGATACAGACAGTGAGAATGAGAGAGAGATGGCATAAAAAGAAATGACCAGAGATGCCAAGTGAAATTCTGACCCTTATCCAAACAAGGACCAGTCCCAGAAGGCAGAGTGCCAACGGTCCTACTGTGTCACCATCTGTATATTCCCCTTCTCTTATCTCCGACTACCATCGCTGTCCTATTGCATTTCATACTGTATGTTTCTTTGTGTGTCTTATGCCATGTTGTTACTATTGTTTACATTGCAGCATAACACATTGGCATTGTAGTCCTCCAGTCTAAAGGTAGTGGTGCTTGTGCCTAAAAAATGAAGGTTCCAAAGCTTGTGTCTCCAAAAGGAACAATCTAAAGCTTGTGCTGCCAAAACTAAGCTTAATTTGTTGGTGTCTTTTTTCTTCCAAATAATAGGGATCGTAATTTTTTTTGGAAGGCTCAGGAACATAAGGAATAATTAATAATTACAAAAGTGTTGCATGTCATATTACCTTGTGATGGCAAGATATTTTACTCACACTGTTGTTGACAGTGTGTTTCCAGTTAGCATTGTAAGTGGCATATCAATGCTGTGAGTGTTTCTTGTCTTTCCAGTGCATGTCAGTGCAGTATCATTGTGTAACTCAGTGATGTAATCCTTGAAGTTCACAGCCTGATAGTGTCACTGCAGAGTAAACGGTGTCAGTGAATCAGTACATGATTATTATGCTTGCTTACTGCTTCAATGTCTGCACGTAAGTGTATGTGTGTGTGTGTGTGTGTGTGCGTGCATGTGTGTTTTCTGCATGTGTGTGTGCATGCGTATGTGTGTACTGTACATGCGTATGTGTGTTTTCAGAGTTGGTTGCACACCTTGCTGATTACAGTATATTTCCTGTAATATTGCATCTACATTGATTAATTATATGTGAGCACGTTACAAGTCGTCCATATTGTTCATGAATGTTATGTTGCTTGGGGGTTCTGCAGGAGTTTGCTGTGCTGACTAAGGAGCTGAATGTTTGCCGGGATCAGCTACTGGAGAGGGAAGAGGAGATTTCTGAGCTCAAGGCGGAGAGAAACAACACACGTGTAAGATGTGTATCAGTCATTTTACTCCTCAGCACTTTCACAGCAGTTGTGTTTTGTTCTTTCTTACCCATCGTAGTTGTGGTATTGATTCTATTACTCACTCTTCTCCTCCCTAGTACACACTTTCACATTTTCTCCTATCATCCCTCTGCCCTCTCCTTTTTCTCCACGTTTCTCCCCCTTCTCTTTCTGCTACCTTATGCTCTTCCACTCCTCTCCACTCCCTCTAAACCTTTCTTGTCTCTCTCTCTCCTCCTTTTTCCCTTTTCCTCTCCACTCTCTTTTCTCCACCTCCTACTATGCCTGTCTTTCTCTCCTTTCCTTTGCCTCTCTCCATCCCTTCCTTGCGTCTCTAACTCTTCTGCCTCTCTCTCTTTCTCTCTCTACCTCTCCCTCAAACTCTTTATCTGCCTCTTTCTGCCTGTCTCTTCCTCCTCCTCTCTCCCCCCTCTCTCTTTCTCTCTCTTTTCATCTTTCCCTCTTGTCCTCTCCCCTCCCATATAGTTGTTACTAGAGCACCTGGAGTGTCTTGTGTCCCGTCATGAGCGCAGTCTGAGGATGACAGTGGTGAAGAGGCAGGCCCAGTCTCCGGCAGGTGTCTCCAGTGAAGTGGAGGTTCTCAAGGCCCTCAAGTCCCTGTTTGAACACCACAAGGCTTTGGATGAGAAGGTGGGCGACCAGGCCACCAGGCTCCCATTTTGGGGTCTCCATCCCACTCATAAGCAGCTACTGTAGCTTTCTACAGTCGCTTTATTGTTTTGCTGAAAGGATCCAGACAGACACATTTCTCAGCGTTTCTTATTCATCTCTTATTTTTGGCCCCTAAGGTTCGAGAGCGACTCCGTGTGGCCCTTGAGAGAGTGACCCTTTTGGAAGATCAACTACAAGCATCCGCACAAGAGGTAAAAGCCATACGGGATACAGATGTTTTATTAAAGCATGTTATATCTCAATTTCTTGACAATAAGAAAGATACAAATGCATTCCCTCAATTTTTTCGTCATTTACCTCTCTTGCAGGTAATCTCTTTAAGAGACCAAATTAAAAGACGGCAACAAGGGTCGGACGGCGGGAAAGATGTAAGGGGGGACTTATGCACGTTGGTTCTAGTGTTTGTGTTTGTTAGCGTCCAAAAGTTAATAACAGTACTACAGTATATAGTATATGGGTATTATGATGTGTCTCTTTGATATTCAACAGTATGATGATGGGTCTAATTGATCTCATTTACCATCGATCTCCTTTCTCGAAAACCATTGTCACCGGTGACATCAGCGCCTACCCAATGGACCTTCTTCTGGATTGGATGATGGTGAGATCGACAGACAGAGAGAAACGGAGATAGAACGCCAAAGAGCTGAGCTCTCCCAGCTGAAAGAGAGACTGGCCCTTATGTGTCGACAGGTGGGTTTGAGAGCGAGAGAGTGAGCGAGAGAGAGAATGTAGCCTACATGTACAGTGAGGGAAAAAAGTATTTGATCCCCTGCTGATTTTGTACGTTTGCCCACTGACAAAGACATGATCAGTCTATAATTTTAATGGTAGGTTTATTTGAACAGCGAGAGACAGAATAACAACAACAAAATCCAGAAAAACGCATGTCAAAAATGTTATAAATTGATTTCCATTTTAATGAGGGATATAAGTATTTGACCCCTCTGCAAAACATGACTTAGTACTTGGTGGCAAAACCTTTGTTGGCAATCACAGAGGTCAGACGTTTCTTGTAGTTGGCCACCAGGTTTGCACACATCTCAGGAGAGATTTTGTTCCACTCCTCTTTGCAGATCTTCTCCAAGTCATTAAGGTTTCGAGCCTGACGTTTGGCAACTCAAACCTTCAGCTCCCTCCACAGATTGTCTATGGGATTAAGGTCTGGAGACTGGCTAGGCCACTCCAGGACCTTAATGTGCTTCTTCTTGAGCCACTCCTTTGTTGCCTTGGCCGTGTGTTTTGGGTCATTGTCATGCTGGAATACCCATCCACGACCCATTTTCAATGCCCTGGCTGAGGGAAGGAGGTTCTCACCCAAGATTTGACGGTACATGGCCCCGTCCATCGTCCCTTTGATGCAGTGAAGTTGTCCTGTCCCCTTAGCAGAAAAACACCCCCAAAGCATAATGTTTCCACCTCCATGTTTGACGGCGGGGATGGTGTTCTTGGGGTCATAGGCAGCATTCCTCCTCCTCCAAACACGGCGAGTTGAGTTGATGCCAAAGAGCTCGATTTTGGTCTCATCTGACCACAACACTTTCACCCAGTTCTCCTCTGAATCATTCAGGTGTTCATTGGCAAACTTCAGACGGACCTGTATATGTGCTCTCTTGAGCAGGGGGACCTTGCGGGCGCTGCAGGATTTCAGTCCTTCACAGCATAGTGCGTTACCAATTGTTTTCTTGGTGACTATGGTCCCAGCTGCCTTGAGATCATTGACAAGATCCTCCCGTGTAGTTCTGGGCTGATTCCTCACCGTTCTCATGATCATTGCAACTCCACGAGGTGAGATCTTGCATGGAGCCCCAGGCCGAGGGAGATTGACAGTTCTTTTGTGTTTCTTCCATTTGCGAATAATCGCACCAACTGTTGTCACCTTCTCACCAAGCTGCTTGGCGATGGTCTTGTAGCCCATTCCAGCCTTGTGTAGGTCTACAATCTTGTCCCTGACATCCTTGGAGAGCTCTTTGGTCTTGGCCATGGTGGAGAGTTTGGAATCTGATTGATTGATTGCTTCTGTGGACAGGTGTCTTTTATACAGGTAACAAGCTGAGATTAGGAGCACTCCCTTTAAGAATGTGATCCTAATCTCACCTCGTTACCTGTATAAAAGACACCTGGGAGCCAGAAATCTTTCTGATTGAGAGGGGGTCAAATACTTATTTCCCTCATTAAAATGCAAATCAATTATAACATTTTTGACATGCGTTTTTCTGGATTTCTTTGTTGTTATTCTGTCTCTCACTTTTCAAATAAACCTACCATTAACATTATAGACTGATCATTTCTTTGTCAGTGGGCAAACATACAAAATCAGCAGGGGATCAAATACTTTTTTCCCTCACTGTATGCATTGCCTACTCTGTAAGACTTTTCTGTAATTTTAACAGTGAAACACTGTAGAATGCACAGTAAAATACCTTAAATGTGTTTTACAGAATTCATTATGGTGCATTGTGGGAAAATGTTGAGGGCGGGGAAAGAGTCTCTGGCTCATTAATGTACTTTAAGACGTGCCTTGTAAGAGGCTATATTTGTTGCATCCGTGAGAATGCTGTACCCCAACAGAAAACAGTAATATACTGTATTTTAAGGATTTCTACCAACCTTGTCCTGAAAAATCGCTGCCATTAATTTTCTGTAATTCAGAATGCAGTACCATACTGTATTTTTGGAGCGACAAAAACCTTTTGAATACTAGTGTCTCATTAACATATTTTGAGGTGTGTCTTGTAAGAGGTTATATTTGTTGCACCTGTTAGTGAGAATGCTGTACGAATTTAGCTAATATGTGGTAGTGGTTCCCTAAGCCTTTGTTAAGGCCTAAAGTGCAAGTGATATAAAACACCAAATATCAGTTATTGTGCTGGAAGGTACACCCATCTAGTACCGAGTCAGACCCCGCTTTGCCTCCAGAACAGCCTGAATTCTTCGGTGCATAGAAACGTTGCTGAATTGATATTAAGGGACCTAACGTGTGCCAGGAAAACATTACCCACACCATTACTCTACCGCTACCAGCCTGTACCATTGACACCAGGCAGGATGGGGCCATGGACTCATGCTGCTTATGCCAAATCCTGACTCTGCCATTAGCATGACACAACAGGAACCGGGATTCGTCGGACCAGGCAATGTTTTTCCACTCCTCAATTGTCCAGTGTTGGTGATCGTGTGCCCACTGGAGCCGCTTCTTCTTGTTTTTAGCTGATAGGAGTGGAACCCGGTGTAGTCGTCTGCTGCAGTAGCCCATTTGTGACAAGAACCGACAAGTTGTGCATTCCGAGATGCCGTTCTACACACCACTGTTGTACTGTGCCGTTATTTGCCTGTTTGTGGCCCGCCTGTTAGCTTGCACAATTATTGCCATTCTCCTTCGACCTCTCATCAAAGAGTTGTTTTCACCCACAGGACTGCCGCTGACTGGATGTTTTTTGTTTGTCGCACCATTCTTGGTAAACCCTAGACACTGTCGTATGTGAAAAGCCCAGGAGGCCGGCCGTTTCTGAAATACTAGAACACTGGTTAATATGTCACTGGGTAATTACAGTAATATTCTGTAATTGTAATTGGTACTGTAAATTAGATTACAGTAATATTTGTGGTACCGTTAAATGGATTACAGTAGCTGTACTGTAGAATAAATTAAAGTAACTTACTGGCCAATTGCTGCCAGTATGTTACTTTAATTTTGCAGGACTTATTTTACAGTGTAGTTTATTATGATCTTAATGTAACCTATGTTGTTATGAACCATTCCCAACAATATTGTGTGAGAGAGAGAGAGTGAAATAGAGAAAAGAGAAGAAAGATAAAGAAAAATAGATTAGGTTGGGGGGTGTATGAAGATTCTTAAAACCAGTTACCTTCTTCCCTCTTGTGGACAGTCAAAAACCACACAGCCTGATCATTGTACATGACAGTCTTTTCTATATAATTGCCATAAACCTGCCTCTACCCAAACCAGTGCTTCACGGCTTCACTCATAAAGGCCCTCTGTCCTGTTATAGTCCCTTATTGTCCCTTATCATCTTATTGCTCTTCCTCATGTCACGTCAGGTTGGGGAAATAGAGGAACAGCTTGCAGCCGCCAGGAGGGAGGTGACGAAGTCGGAGGAGGCCAATCAGAAGCTCCAGAGGGACGTGAAGGAGGTCAGTCGGGCCAATCTGTTCCTGGCCAAGGCCTTTGGTCAGGGGTGGGAAAACCTTTTTGGCTCGAGGGCCACATCAGTATTGATCATTTCTACATACTTTCTATCTAGTTTTAGATGCTCAAGTAAGGCCTGGAGCGTTTCTTTTTTACACAAAATAATAATTTGTAATCGGCTGCCCACCCCTGCCTTAGATTATATCAGTTCCCGAAGCCTCTCTGTTTAAGCTACTGTTCTATCCCACTATGTGCATCCAATGCAAATATCTCAATGCACAGAGCATTGAAATGCCTGGTATGAATTTCGGGAAAATATGCATTTATGAGTTATATTCATCATGGATCAGGAGCTATACAGTTGAAGTCAGAAGTTTACATACACCTTAGCCAAATACATTTAAACTCAGTTTTTCACAATTCCTGACATTTAATCCTAGTAAAAATTCCCTGTCTTAGGTCAGTTAGGATCACCACTTTATTTTAAGAATGTGAAATGTCAGAATAATAGTAGAGAGAATGATTTATTTCAGCTTTTATTTCTTTCATCACATTCCCAGTGGGTCAGAAGTTTACATACACTCAATTAGTATTTGGTAGCATTGCCTTTAAATTGTTTAACTTGGGTCAAACGTTTTGCGTAGCCTTCCACAAGCTTCCCACAATAAGTTGGGTGCATTTTGGCCCATTCCTCCTGACAGAGCTGGTGTAACTGAGTCAGGTTTGTAGGCCTCCTTGCTCGCACACGCTTTTTCAGTTCTGCCCACAAATTTTCTATAGGATTGAGGTCAGGGCTTTGTGATGGCCACTCCAATACCTTGACTTTGTTGTCCTTAAGCCATTTTGCCACAACATTGGAAGTATGCTTGGGGTCATTGTCCACTTGGAAGACCCATTTGCGACCAAGCTTTAACTTCCTGACTGATGTCTTGAGATGTTGCTTCAATATATCCACATAATTTTCCTTCCTCATGATGCCATCTATTTTGTGAAGTGCACCAGACCCTCCTGCAGCAAAGCACCCCCACAGCATGATCCTGCCACCCCCGTGCTTCACGGTTGGGGTGGTGTTCTTGGGCTTGCAAGCGTCCCCCTTTTTCCTCCAAACATAATGATGGTCATTATGGCCAAACAGTTCTATATTTGTTTCATCAGACCAGAGGACATTTCTCCAAAAAGTACGATCTTTGTCCCATGTGCAGTTGCAAACCATAGTCTGGCTTTTTTATGGCGGTTTTGGAGCAGTAGCTTCTTCCTTGCTGAGCGGCCTTTCAGGTTATGTCGATATAGGACTCGTTTTACTGTGGATATAGATACTTTTGTGCCTGTTTCCTCCAGCATCTTCACAAGGTCCTTTGCTGTTGTTTTGGGATTGATTTGCACTTTTCGCATCAAAGTACGTTCATCTCTAGGAGACAGAACGTGTCTCCTTCCTGAGCGGTATGAAGGCTGCGTGGTCCCATTGTGTTTATACTTGCGTATTGTTTGTACAGATGAACGTGGCACCTTCAGGCATTTGGAAATTGCTCCCAAGGATGAACCAGACTTGTGGAGGTCTACAATTTTCTTTCTGAGGTCTTGGCTGATTTCTATGGATTTTCCCATGATGTCAAGCAAAGAGTCACTGAGTTTGAAGGTAGGCCTTGAAATACATCCACAGGTACACCTCAAATTGAGTCAAATTATGTCAATTAGCCTATCAGAAGCTTCTAAAGCCATGACATCATTTTCTGGAATTTTCCAAGCTGTTTAAAGACACAGTCAACTTAGTTTATGTAAACTTCTGACCCACTGGAATTGTGATACAGTGAATTATAAGTGAAATAATCTGTCTGTAAACAATTGTTGGAAAAATTACTTGTGTCATTCACAAAGTCGACTTGCCAAAACTATAGTTTGTTAACAAGACATTTGTGGAGTGGTACTTACCAGGCCCGACCCTGCTTAGCTACTAAGATCAGACATGTTCAGGGTGGTATGGTCACAAGCATACTTGGCACATCGCTGCAATTCCCCAATGGGCTCGGGCGAGGCGAAGGTCGAGTCACGCGTCCTCCGAAACATGACCCGCCTGGCCACGCTACTTCTTATCATACTACTCGCTTAATCCGGAAGTCAGCTGCACCAATGTGTCAGAGGAAACACCATTCGACTGACGACAGAAGTCAGCTTGAAGGCACCCGACTCTGCCACGAGTCGCTAGAGCGTGATGAGCCAAGGAAAGCCCCCCGGCCAAACCCTCTCCTACCTCGGATGGCGCTGGGACAATTGTGCGGCATCCTATGGGGCTCCCGGTCACAGTGCTTTTGACATCTGTGCCACACAGGATTAATGACGCATAATAAAGGCCTATTTAGCTACTTATGTTGCAAATGAGTGTCTGTATTGTGATTCCTCTACTAAAGTTGTACCCTTTGTACTCTATTAAGCATGTAAATTAATATTGAATATGAAAGAAAGAGTAGCTGTAAGACGAGCCCTAGGTGACAAGAGAGACTAGAGGAGCTGTGCACATATTAAATGACTGAACAAATGTGATAATGAATAGTCAATTCATATAAATGTGCACATTTCTCTGTTAAATGTTTAGGTTACCATTTTATACTGTATGTGATATTTACAATGTGTAATGTATAATCATATGTTTATTTGGATGATTAACCATGCTTCACTACGTTTCTGCATCGTTCAGGCTCTGTGCCAAAGGGAGGATATGGAGGAGAGGATCACTACATTAGAACGCAGGTAACCCTCTATTTGCAGAACGATACTGGCTTGTGTGACTATTCATTTCCCCTTTTACAGTATAATGGTGACAAACTACCAGGTTTTCCCCTCATTATCTGAAAAGCTGTCACCAACGTGTCACAACACCTGTACATCGCACCTTTCATCTTTAACTCAATGCCTGGGTATTTTCAAACGTTACAGCACACTGCAATAGTTGGCTTATGTCTGCATACTGCACATACAGTGAAGAGTGGATGTGCATAACTAATGGTCAGGGATGTAGTGGAGCATAAATGCACATAAACGTTGTTTAGGCACCTTTATATTGGTGAAAAACGTTTACACTCCTACCGTGCCAAATAAGCTTTGTTAGCGTTAACGTTGACATTACTTGCTGCCGGTCATCAGCTCGACCAATGTTCACCGTTGGTGTTATCTACCTTTCTTACCATGTTGTTTGCAGGTACCTCAGTGCTCAGAGGGAAGCAACCTCTCTACATGACATCAAAGACAAGCTGGAGAATGAGCTGGCCAGCAAGGAGTCACTGCACAGACAGGTAATGGTTAACAAACGACTACAAGGGTGGCTTACATAGATGTACAATAACCCTGTACAAATGAGTAGGTTATATCCAGATTAGCATTGTCTTTTAATACTTAGGGCCAGATTCTTAGGGCCAATTTCCTGTACCTCGATTTAAGTAATTCTCAATGGAGTATCTATTTACAGGACGAGAAAGAGGGAAGAGAACGGACTCAGACCTGGATTGTAGTGCAGTGTATAAAAATATCCCTGACTTCATCCGCTCTCTTCCCTCTTTCTCGTCCTGTATATTGTAAGAGTGAGGAGAAGAACAGGCAGCTCCAGGAGCGTCTGGACGACGCCAAGCAGAAGCTCCAGCAGACCCTGCAGAGGGCCGAGACACTGCCCGAGATTGAGGCCCAGCTCGCCCAGAGAGTGGCTTCCCTCAACAAGGTACTGTACTGGATGTCTAAGTTCACACTGTTTGTTCTGTTTACTCATGTGGATCTGTCTGACTGTCTGTGAAACTGTTTGGTTGTCTGTCTGTCTCTTTCCACTTTCTACCGTCCGTCCGTCTGTATGACCTGAGTTGTCCTCCTATTGGCAACCCATCTATCTGTCCTTGTGTTAGTCTGAGTTTATATTTGATCTCATGTTCAGACACTTTCTCTATCTTTTCTATTTAGGCAGAGGAACGCCATGGAAACTTTGAGGAGCGACTACGACAGATGGAGGCACAACTTGAAGAGAGGAATCAGGAGTTGCAAAGGGTAATAATGCAGTACTTGTTTATACACTGTAAACCCCAATGTGCTGTCATTACTCCAAATTCTTTAGGAAACCTGTTGCACTAAATATATCTGAGTACAGTTACAGTTACAGTTTTGGAGTCATTACTCAAATCGATAGTCGATGTGACCCTGTAGGGCAGGGGTGTCAAACTCATTCCATGGAGGGTCTAGTGTCTTCTGGTTTTTATTTTTTTCCTTTCAGTTAAGACCTAGACAACCAGGTGAGGGAAGTTTCTTACTAATTAGTGACCTTAATTCATCAATCAAGGGAGGAGCGAAAACTTGCAGACACTCGGCCCTCCGTGGAATGAGTTTGACACGTGCTGTAGGGGGTCCAGATTTGAGTTGTATCAGCTTGCCTTTTCAAGTGAATTGCAGAATTACCACCCATGACTGTATTTGTTAGTGATAGAGACATGGTTGTTGAATTCGTTCATTTTCAGTCCTGTGGCCTTACCAAGAGAGTTCTTAGGTGAATGTTATAACTCTTTATGACAATACATATCTCATAAGGCCTTATTTTGAGGCCTCGCTTTATCCTAATACAGTTGCCTGAAAATCATTGTTTACAGGCCACATCAGGCCTGCAAGTAGGGTTGCAAAACTCTGGTAACTATACAAAAATTCCCAGAATCTTCCAACTGGGATTTCTGGAAAACCAGGGAAATGTACTGTTGATGTTACGTTTGATGTTAAGTTTGATACCGGAGCTCAGAGGCATGCGTAGAAATCGCTAAGCAGCTAACTTCGAAGCAGTTTGCCGATGCATATATAACTTTATCAGAAGTACATTCAATGACATCTGAAGCTTTGTTTGATCACATGCTTTTTCAAACCATGTGATGCAAAATGTGAGATTCCACTGATTTCGCCGTGGTTCTGCTGCTTTCTTCGATTCCAAGCTACTTTCAAACACCGACCTCTAATGGACACAGTACATACATATATACACAGAACAAAAATATAAGCGCAACATGTAAAGTGTTGGTCTCATGTTTCATGAGCTGAAATAAAAGATCCCAGAAATGTTGTTTACATCCCTGTTAGTGAGCATTTATCCTTTGCCAAGATAATCCATACAAATGACAGGTGTGGCATATCAAGAAGCTGATTAAACAGGATGATCATTACACAGGTGCACCTTGCGCTGAGGACAATATAAGGTAACTCTAAAATGTGCAGTTTTGTCACACAACATAATGCCACAGACGTCTCAAGTTTTGAGGGAGCGTGCAATTGGCATGCTGACTGCAGGAATGTCCACCAGAGCTGTTGCCAGATAATTGAATATTAATTTCTCTACAATAAACTGCCTCCAATGTCGTTTTAGAGAATTTGGCAGTACGTCCAACCGGCCTCACAACCGCAGACCACATGTAACGACACCAGTCCTCCACATCCAGCTTTTTCACCTGCGGGATTGTCTGAGACCAGCCACCCGGACAGCTGATGAAACTGTGAGTTTGCACAAGTGAAGAATTTCTGCACTAACTGTCAGAAACCATCTCAGGGAAGCTCATCTGCGTGCTTGTCGTCCTCACCACGGTCTTGACCTGACTGCAGTTTGATGTCGGTACTGACTTGAGTGGGCAAATGCTCACCTTCGATGGCCACTGGCATGCTGGATCTCATGTGTGCTCTTCACGGAAGAATCCCAGTTTGAACTGTACCAGTCAGATGGCGTTGTGTGGGCGAGCGGTTTGCTGATGTCAACGTTGTGAACAGAGTGCCCCATGGTGGCGGTGGGGTTATGATATGGGCAGGCATAAGCTATGGACAACGAACACAATTGCATTTTATTGATGGCAATTTGAATGCACAGAGATACCGTGATGAGATCCTGAGGCCCATCATCGTGCCATTCATCTGCCGCCATCACCTCATGTTTCAGCATGATAATGCACGGCCCCATGTTGCAAGGATCTGTACACAATTCCTGGAAGCTAAAAATGTCCCCGTTCTGCCATGGCCTGCAAACTCACCAGACTGAGCATGTTTGGGATGCTCTGGATCGACAGCATGTTCCAGTTCCGCCAATATCCAGCAACTTCGCACAGCCATTGAAGAGGAGTGGGACAACATTCCACAATCAACAGCCTGATCAACTCTATGCGAAGGAGATGTGTCGAACTGCATGAGGCAAATGGTGGTCACACCAGATACTGAATGGTTTTCTGATCCACACGCCTACTTTTTTTTTTTAAGGTACACTACATGGCCAAAAGTCCTTCAAATTAGTGGATTTGGCTATTTCAGCCACACCCGTTGCTGACAGGTGTATACAATCCAGCACACAGCCATACAATCTCCATAGACAAACATTGGCAGTAGAATAGCCCGTGCTGAAGAGCTCAGTGACTTTCAACATGGCACTGTCATAGGATGTCAGTTTGTCAAATTTCTGCCCTGCTAGAGCTATAAGTGCTGTTATTGTGAAGTGGAAAGGTCTAGGAGCAACAACGGCTTAGCCGAGAAGTGGTAGGCCACACAAGCTCACAGAATGGGACCGCCGAGTGCAGAAGCACATAACACGGAAAAATCATCTGTCTTCGGTTGCAACACTCACTACTGAGTTCCAAACTGCCTCTGAAAGCAACGTCAGCACAATAACTGTTCATCGGGAGCTTCATGAAATGGGTTTCCGTGGCCGAGCAGCCAGACATAAGCCTAAGATCACCATGCGCAATATCAAGACTCGGCTGGAGTGTTGTAAAGCTCGCCACCATTGGCCTCTGGAGCAGTGGAAACGCATTCTCTGAAGTGATGAATCACACTTCACCATCTGGTTGTCTGACAGACGAATCTGGGTTTGGTGGATGCCAATAGAATGCTACCTGCCCGAATGCAATGTGCCAACTCTAAAGTTTGGTGGAGGAGGAATAATGGTCTGGGGCTGTTTTTCATGGTTCGGGCTAGGCCTCTTAGTTCCAGTGAAGGGAAATCTTAACGTTTCAGCATACAATGACATTCTAGACTATTCTGTGCTTCCACTTTGTGGCAACCGTTTGGGGAAGGCCCTTTGCTGTTTCAGCATGACAATGTCCACGTGCACAAAGCGATGTCCATACAGAAATGGTTTGTTGAGATCGGTGTGGAAGAACTTGACTGGCATGCACAGAGCCCTGACCTCAACCACACCAAACACCTTTGGGATGAATTGGAACGCCGACTGCGAGCCAGGCCTAATCGCCCATCAGTGCCCGACCTCACTAATGCTCTTGTGACTGAGTGGAAGCAAGTCCCCGCAGCAATGTTCCAACATCTAGTGGAAAGCCTTCCCAGAAGAGTGGAGGCTGGTATAGCAGCAAATGGGGGGGACCAACTCCATATTAATGCTCATGATTTCGGAATGAGATGTTCGACGAGCAGGTGTCCACCTACTTTTGGCCATGTAGTGTATCTGTGACCAACAGATGCATATCTGTATTCCCAGTCATGTGAAATCCATAGATTAGGGCCTAATCAATTGACTGATTTCCTTATATGAACTGTAACTCAGTAAAATCTTTGAAATTGTTGCGTTCACATTTTTGTTCAGTGTAGTTAGGATTTTGTACGAAAAATGTCACTTGACGGGTAGCTTAGCAGGTAGAGTAGTGAACTATGGAACATTCAGGGACGTGAGAGGTATGAGGTCGAATTAAGTTGAATTGATTTATGTGAAACCACACTTTCAGCACTGTTGTTAAAATAATATGTTATATTTAGTATAGTCTGTGTTAAGCATCCTAAATAATGTCATAGATACTGTTTTTGAAAGATAGTAAACTTGTAGGTAATAAGAGGAAGCGTGATGTAAGATGCATACCTGTTATTCCAACTGATTATAGGCTACTATAGCCAGCGACTTACAATTGCGTCAAGACGTTTTGATGAAAACAGTGGAGAAAAAAACATCTATCTGATAATCACAAGCTGCTATTTATTGCTAACCAGCAGATGTCACTTATGTGCATTGTGAACAGAATGAAGCTCTGAGTAATGAACCGTTTTTCTGCATAATTTGGTTAAAGCGCCGAAGCCTTCAGAAAGCGTTGGTTTCCAATCACTACAACACTACCTGCAAGTCACATTATGATGGCTTGCAAAGTGATGTGCCATTCCTAGTTAGGATATCCAACAGTTGACATTTTTATTCACAAATTCAAAATGACTGCCAGGGTTAGGAACAGTGGGAGGAGATTACCTAAGCCATTTAAACTTGAACATCCATTTCAGTAAAGGGTGCAAAAATTCTAACTAAATGACTGGATTTGTTTAGAAAAATGTATGTTATTTATCTTTGTGTAGCATAAGATTAATCAATCACTCAATGTACCTGCAAAAACACAGATATTAAAAACAATCTTTAAAAAATCCACCTGCAGTAGAACAAGCTAGGAAAAAAGTTAATTTGTTATCATAACTTAACTTGACTTTGAGTTCAACTTACTATAATTATTTGATTTAAAAATGCCTTGGTCTGTTATAATGTTTCATAAATGCTTATAACAAGCATTATACCGGCTATATTTTACCTGCTAAAGTGGTAAAGTGTTACAATGTGTTCCTTACCCTCCATTTTGGCCAATCAATTAAAACCCAATCCTATCTTTATGAACTGCATGAACTCTTATTGCTACCCAAAAGCGCACAGTTTCTTCAGCTTCTTCTTAATTTTTTCCTTCATATCTTTTCTCTACCTTGACCCTCACTGTGTAATTTTGTCTGTTTCAGGCAAGGCAGAGAGAGAAAATGAATGACGAACACAACAAACGCCTCTCGGATACGGTGGACAAGCTACTGTCTGAGTCCAATGAGCGACTGCAGCTTCACCTCAAAGAGAGAATGGCTGCCCTTGAGGAGAAGGTACTATAACGCTTTGTTAACCATATGCTAAATGAAGCTAATATTGCCATCAATAATCAGTAAGTATTTTTGATCAACACAATAAACGGCAAACATGAGTAAACTTGGCATAATCACTCCTCTACTCTTATAGAATGCACTGTCAGAGGAGTTAGCAAACATGAAGAAAATCCAAGATGATCTTCTAGCAAACAAGGTACATATCTTCCCCTTATTGTATCCAGTTCATCAGATTTCAATATATACATTGCTGCTGTACTTTACATCTGTCGATACATGGAATGAGGACATCAGCAGGACTTTATACTGATTTAAAACTTTGGACTTACTCAGTGGTTGCCTTTAGGGCTATACACTAACTTTTGCAAACCCTTTTTGGGATACTAGGGTGGATAGTTTACCCTCCCCGGTCTCAATATGTAATTTAATCTATCATCGCAAGGGTTTATCTGTTTTGCTGCAAGAACTGGAGACCAGTCACACTGCTCTGCACTGATAACAATATTTTGATTTTGCTAACAGAAAAATACTTCTGTGATCTTGTAGTTCTGTCAGTTCTGTCTGTACTTTAGTTATTCTTACCTGCTTCTGTATCCGTTCTTTGTTTAGATATTTTAATAGGGAAATAGATGCATGTAAACAAGTAGGACGTTTTCTTTGCTGGAATATAATGTCATCCTGTACTGTGCTCCCATCTCTCTCTCCCAGGACCAGCTCATAGCCGAGCTGGAGAGGATTCAGCTGGAGGTGGATCAACTGAGGGGGAGGCCTGGCTCTTCCTATTCCAGGTTAGCCACAATGGAGCTTCAAGGGTATTTATAAATACATTTGATAAAAGCATTAAATAAACAAATTTGTTCTCTCGAGGGAACACTAATCCACCACTTGTCAGAGGATGATGTTATGAACACTTTACCCCTCCTAAATGATAGACTTTCTAAATGTTTGTTTTATATTTTGCTAAGACGACCAAGGCAACGAGTTTAGAGCAGAGATATTATCAATATGTTTTGCCCTAATGCCCTCAAAACCAACAAAAATAATGGTTGATGACAGGTCCCCGAACAGTCAAAATCATGTTTTTCATTAAATTGGATGATATTTGGATGAAACCAGATAAAAGTAGGACGACCCAAGTATGAAAAATTACTATTGCTTCTACACTACCAGTCAAAAGTTTGGACACAACAACTCATTCAAGGGTTTTTCTTTATTTGTAAAACATTTTACATTGTAAAATAAAAGTGAAGACATCAAAACTATGAAATAACACATATGGAATCATGTAGTAACCAAAAAAGTGTTAAACCAATCAAAATATATGTTACATTTGAGATTCTTCAAATAGCCACCCTTTGCCTTGATGACAGCTTTGCACACTATTGGCACAATCTCTCAACCAGCTTCATGAGGTAGTCACCTGGAATTCATTTCAATTAACAGGTGGGCCTTCTGTGTGAATTTCTTTCCTTCTTAATGTGTTTGAGCCAATCAGTTGTGTTGTGACAAGGTGGGGGGGGGGGTATACAGAAGATAGCCCTATTTCGTAACAGACCAAGTCCATATTATGGCAAGAACAGCTCAAATAAGCAAAGAGAAATGACAGTCCATCATTACTTTAAGACATGAAGGTCAGTCAATACAGAACATTTCAAGTGCAGTTGCAAAAACCATCAAGCGCTATGATGAAACTGGCTCTCATGAGGACCGCCACAGGAATGGAAGACCCAGAGTTACCTCTGCTGCAGAGGATAAGTTCATTAGAGTTACCAGCCTCAGAAGTTGCAGCCCAAATAAAAGCTTCACAGAGTTCAAGTTACAGACACATCTCAACATCAACTCTTCAGAGGGGACTGTGTGAATCAGGCCTTCATGGTTGAATTGCTGCAAAGAAACCACTACTAAAGGACACCAATAATAAGAAGAGACCTGCTTGGGCCAAGAAACACAAGCAATGGACATTAGACCGGTGGAAATGTGTCCTTTGGTCTGGAGTCCAAATTGGAGATTTTTGGTTCCAAACCGCCGTGTATTTGTGAGACGCGGTGAGGGTGAATGGATGATCTCCGCAAGTGTATTTTCCACCGTAAAGCATGGAGGACAAGGTGTTATGGTGTGGGGGGGCTTTGCTGGTGACACTGTCTGTGATTTATTTAGAATTCAAGGCACACTTAACCAGCATGGCTACCATAGAATTCTGCAGCGATACGCCATCCCATCTGGTTTGGGCTAAGTTGGACTATCATTTGTTTTTCAACAGGACAATGACCCAACACACCTCCAGGCTGTTTAAGGGCTATTTTACCAAGAAGGAGAGTGATGGAGTGCTTCATCAGATGACCTGGGCTCCACAATCCCCCGACCTCAACCCAATTGAGATGGTTTGGGATGAGTCGGACGGCAGAGTGAAGGAAAGGCAGCCAACAAGTGCTCAGCATATGTGGGAACTGCACATATGTTGGAAAAGCATTCCAGGTGAAGCTGGTTGAGAGAATGTCAAAAGTGTGCAAAGCTGTCATCAAGGCAAAGGGTGGATATTTGAAGAATCTCAAATATAAAATATGTTTTGATTTGTTTAACACTTTTTTGGTTACTACATGATTCCATATGTGTTATTTCATAGTTTTGATGTTTTCACTGTACATTGATAAAATTGTATCATAAAGTTACTAGTCCCCTCCCCTATGTCAAACACTTGGATTCAGGTGGCTGGATTATTAAGGGCTGTTTGTGACATCACAAAAATACTAATTTGAATACACCAATGGGAAAGTCTTATTCCCTTACCAAATTTAAATAAGTAGAGCCTTGTAAGCAACATCGCAGAAGGCATGTTCGCAGAGGGGCGTGGTTTACATACAGTGCATTTGGAAAGTATTCAGACCCCTTGACTTTTTCCACATTTTGTTATGGTACGGCCTTATTCTAAAATTGATTAAATTAATACTTTTCCTCATCAATATACACACAATACCCCATAATGACAAAGTGAAAGCAGGTTTTTAAAAATGTTTGCACATTTATAGAAAAAAACTACAGAAACACCTTATTTACATAAGTATTCAGACCCTTTGCTATGAGACTTAAAATTGAGCTCAGGTGCATCCTGTTCCCATTGATCATCCTTGAGATGTTTCTACAACTTGATTGGAGTCCACCTGTGGTAAATTCAGTTGATTGGACATGATTTGGAAAGGCACACACCTGTCTAAATAAGGTCCCACAGTTGACAGTGCATGTCAGAGCAAAAAAAAAGCCATGAGGTGGAAGGAATTGTCTGTAGAACTCTGAGACAGGAATGTGTCGAGGCACAGATTTGGGGAAGGGTATAAAAAACCTTCTGCAGCATTGAGGGTCCCCAAGAACACAGTGGCCTCCATCATTCTTAAATAGAAGAAGTTTGGAGCTACCAAGACTATTACAAGAGCTGGCCTCCTGGCCAAACTGAGCAATCGGGAGAGAATGGCCTTGATCATGGAGGTGATCAAGAACCCGATGGTCACTCTGACAGAGCTCCAGAGTTCCTCTGTGGAGATGGGAGAAACTTCCAGAAGGCCAATCATCTCTGCAGCACTTCACCAATCAGGCCTTTATGGTAGAGTGGCCAGACGGAAGCCACTCCTCAGTAAACAAGATTGTCTGGTCTGATGAATCCTTGATTGAACTCTTTGACCTGATGCCAAGCGTCACGTCTGGAGGAAACCTGGCACCATCCCTACGGTGAAGCATGGTGGTGGCATCATGAAGTGGGGATGTTATTCAGCGGCAGGGACTGGGAGACTAGTCAGGATCGAAGGAAAGCTGAACAGAGCAAAGAACAGAGAGATCCTTGATGAAAACCTACTCCAGAGCACTCAGGACCTCATACTGGGATGAAGGTTCACCTTCCAACAGGACAACGACCCTAAGCACACAGCCAAGACAATGCAGGAGTGGCTTCGGGACAAGTCTCTGAATGTCCTTGAGTGGCCCAGCCAGAGCCCGGACTTGAACCCGATTGAACATCTCTTCTGGAGAGACCTGAAAATAGCTGTGCAGCGACGCTCCACATCCAACCTGACAGAGCTGGAGAGGATCTGCAGAGAACAATGGGAGAAACTCCCCAAATACAGCTGTGCCAAGCTTGTAGAGTCATACCCAAGAACACTCAAGGCAGTAATCGCTGTTAAAGGTGCTTCAACAAAGTACTGAGTAAAGGGTCTGAATACTTATGTAAATGTGATATTTCCATTTTTTATTTGTAATACATTTCTAAATATTTCTAAAAACCTGTTTTTGCTTTGTCATTATGGGGTATTGTGTGTAGATTGATGAGAAAAAACACTATTTAATCCATTTTAGAATAAGGCTGTAACTTAACAATATGGGGAAAACGTTGATTGTCTGAATACTTTCCGAATGCACTGTAGCTAGGTAGCTAGTCTACTGGTGGCAAAGTTTGACTGCAGTGTGACAGCAAATATAATTAGAAGTATCCCCTATTCATCTAAGGCAAAGACACTTATAGGTTTCCGCTTTCATCTGTGTCTGGTGTTAGTTAGTAACTGGCTAGCTAGGTCTTCAGCCAGCATGGAACAAAAGTAGGGGAAGGATTGCCCAAAACTCAGATGCAGTTGTCATGTCATTAAATCAAGAGATATGCCAAATAGAAAATTCATACAAACTTCTTGACATTATTGATAGTCATGATATATGAATATTGTCTGACAGTCTTTAAATCAAAATTACCCCAGGTGGCACCCTGTATGGTTTCAGCTGAAATTGTCCCAGATGAACTAGCTAGCTAGCTTGATAAACAGCCCTGACAATTCCATTTGGGCTAGCTAGCTAAATGAAACAGTCAACATTTTGACTATATTGATGCTGTTACAGTAACCAAACAGGATAAACAAATCATTTGTGAAACCGTGATGTGATGTATGAAAGGATTGGATGTTGCATGCAATTTCAATGTTGTTTGAGTTGCTTTGTGTATCAGCAAATTTGCTTGAGATAATCTCACTTGACAAAGGCATTTTCAAAGAATCGCCAGTCAAGGTGAGCTCCCCCCCACCCACTCATCCTACTAGCTCCCCGCCCTCTCAGTCTGTATTTCAGACTTTCTGGTAGTGTGACATGAGAGAAAAAATAGATATTAAAATTTTGTAGCATTTTTCTATACATAAAAAATATTATGGGTGATGTTTTAGTCACTCAAAAGGATAATTTACATGGGAATCAGAATGACTGTTCCGGACCTTTAAGTTTACATTGTTTTTCTCACTTTCTGTTAGTTGAGGTAGCATTAGATTTTGTTCTAATGTAGTGTAACAAATAAAGCATGTATTGTGATTGAGGGTAAAATGTCACAATTTCACTCAATTTACAAATGTTAAAGTTTTTCATTAAAAACGTGTATTTTATTCAGGAAATGAGGTAAATACATTCTGAAAGATGTGCTATAACGAATAAAGCCTTTTATTTTCTCATCTAACAAACTCAGTGGTCACCAAACTTTTTTTGAGCTGAGATCACTTTCTGAGTTAAAATGCAGGATAAGATCTACAGCACAGATGTATTTTTATTTTTTACATGACTTAAAAAACGTAAGCCTACGCAACACTAATCTATTAAAAACAGTTTTGTAGCAATGAGGTTTGTGCAGTAGGCTATAGGCCCAACACATTATCACTGCATATTGGCTATGATTGAATTGCCCCACCAATGTTGTTCTTCTCAAACCATTTTCAAATTATATTTAAAAACTTGATGTATATGATCACACTGGTAATAGATCATTATTTGTTGTATTACTTGTGAGGCACAGCCAAGTGAGCATACATTGAAATAATTTGCATTCTATATTTTACTGGACTGATGATGTCTGCATCTGATGGTCAGTCTCAGCGGAGGGAGAACATCAGAGGTTCTGCCTCTCATCATTGGACCGTCCCTCAGCTCTCCCCCCTCCGCTAAGACTGACCAAAAAGGGGAAACCGTCTTTGAGCTGGTGGTGAAACTCGAGTCACACCACATTATACACAAATTCTTGTTGTTACTCGTATGACCAGAGAAAGTGATATATTCCACGATATTAAAAAACACAGCCGCTAATAATAACACAGCAAGCCTATCGATACACTTTGCTACTCATTCATTGAAGCAGCAGTGCTGGTTGCAGCGCAAGTGGAGCCGCGCCTTTCATTACTTATAAAGTTTTGAATGAAAAATGTTGACAGTGCTGAATGAAACTTTAACATGAACTCACTCATAAAAACAGAATTGCTGTATTCGTTGACAGTCTCTCTCTAGTCATGGTTTTAGACGTTTTGAAATCACAATATAAATGAGAAAGCTATAAGGTGCACTTGATTTGCTCTCCGGGCACGCAGAGTAAGCAGTGTTTGTTCCTTCAGACACATGAAATGGTTCAAAATGGGAATACTTCGCCTACCCGGTGTTCAGGGCAGCTGAAACAAGTGCACCTACTGCCAACAGTGCAAGACAGATAAAAGTAGGAATGCAAGGCTTTATTATAGAAATGTTTCTCGATCAACCAGGAATGCCTTGGAGATCGACCATTCTATTGCCATCGACTGTTTGTGACCACTGCTGTAGGGCGAGCAACGTGAGCTCACTTCCCTCCAACCTTTTTTTGAAGATCTCTTTCAGGGAGTGCCTCGGAGCTCCGGTACCCCCAGGGTGGTGGCTCCCTCCCAGCCGGCTATGGCAGCTCCTCCAGTGGCGTGGTAGTCCGGAGGGCACACCGCGGCCAATGGGCTCCCCCCAGGGATGAAAGCAACATGGTGAGGATCTCATGGACTACCTATAGTACTGGAGCTCCCTGGTAGCCTGGTCCCATAACATATTGGCTATAGCCAACTCCTAGAAAAGAAAGGCTGCACATTTAAATGGCTCTGATGCAATAAATACCAACATTTCAACAGCTTTGTTGTCTTAGTCAGGGTTTCAACTCCTGTCCCACAACATACAGTCTAGGACCAGGCTTGCTCCCTCGGTGGTGCCTAATTTTGTGTTTTAATGATTTATGATTGACTGAGTGACCTGTCACTCCTACACATGGGGGCCATTTTAATAATAATAATAATAATATGCCATTTAGCAGACGCTTTTATCCAAAGCGACTTACAGTCATGCGTGCATACATTTTTGTGTATGGGTGGTCCCGGGGATCGAACCCACTACCTATTTTGTTTGAGTCTTAATTTGACATGCAAGGATAAAAGTAGACTGTAAGACATTTCTGTAATTTCAACAGTAAAAAACTGTTGAATGTACAGTAAAATACCATGTGTTTTACAGAATTAATTATGGGAAAATGTTGTGGGCGAGGAAAGAGTTTCTGGTTCATTAACATATTTTAAGGCGTGCCTTGTAAGAGGCACCCATGAGTGAGAACGCTGTACCCCCACAAAATACAGTAATATACTGTATTAGAAGAGTTTCTACAAACCTTTTCCTCTGCAGTAACTTACTGGCTAATTGCTACCAGTAATTTACTGTAATTCAGAATACAGGATCATACTGTATTTTTGGAGCTCCAAAAACCTTTTGAACACTAGTGGGTGCATGGTTTGTTGTTTCTGACTCATTAACATATTTTGAGGTGTGTCTTGTAAGAGGCTGTATTTGTTGCACCCGTTAGTGAGAGTCACATACCAATTTAAATGATATGTGGTAGTAGTTCCCTAACAATTAAATGTATATAGGGGACAGATCAGAGTGGCAGTGGGTTTTAAACCTTTAATGGTTGAATATTTAACTATGTCCATTTGATCTATTTTGCCCTGTAATCATTCCAGTTATGAAGCCTTTGTTCCCTCTAGAATTGCAAGTGATGTAAAACTAGTAATGGGGAACCAAAGCTTCCTGAAGCATCGTGCATTTTCAGCAAATTGTGTCAAAAATAGGTTCATTACTCAAGGCTTTGATCAACACAGTGTACACTAGTGGCACCTGCTGGTCAAAATAATTTAGAGCAGCCTAATTATTATAGATGACTTCGCACACGCTGTGGCGCGTGTGCATGGTAGCCTTTTGTCTTCTACCGAAACCAATACCAAACTAATCAGGTGGTTGTTCGACAAAACGACGCTTCGGACGTCATTGATCACATGCTTCTGATAAAGTGATACAAGCATCGGCACACTGTTTCAAAGCAAACTGCTTAGCGATTTTGACACATGCCTCAGAGCTCCGCTATCAAACGTAACATTACTATATAAAACACCTAGTATTCATTAATATGCTGTAATATACAAATGCCTAGCAGCCAACCTGCTTGATCCAATCCCTTGTAATTGCAGTAAAATACTGTAAAAATAACTTTGTTACAGTCTATTAGTCAGTTTTACAGTATTGTACAGTTTTTCATTGCTTTGGACATTATAGTAATTTACAGGAAGCTGGCATCAAATTACCGTGAATATCTCAGTAATGTATTGTCACTATCCAGAGATAGTCAGAGATACAGTATATCATAAGATATTTTGTTTTAATAACAATTATTCTGAAGATCAGTGAATCCTTAACTACATTTTCAGTAACAGTTACAGAAACGTTTTACTTGCTATGACTGTGTTTATTTTTTATCAACTTTGGTTGAAAACACTGACTGTACGTTTCTAAGGACAAGAGTGTCCGCTAAATGACCAAAATGTAAAGGTAAATGTAAAAATGAAAACCTGCAAAGAACACTGGTTAATATGTCACTGGGTAATTACAGTAATATGCTTTAATTGTAATTGGTACTGTAAATTAGATTACAATAACTGACTTGGTACTGTAAATTAGATTACAGTAATATTTGTGAATATGTCAAATGGATTACAGTAGCTGTACTTCAAAATAAAGTACAGGAGCTTACTGGCCAATTGCTACCAGTATATTACTGCAGGGTTTCCTAAACTCGGTCCTCGGGCCCCCCTTTGGGTGCACATTTTAGTTTTTGCCCTAGCACTACACAGCGGATTCAAATAACCAACTCATCATCAAGCTTTGATTATTTGAATCAGCTGTGTTATTCAATGGGCAAAAACCAAAATGTGCGCCCAAGGGGGGCCCCAGGACCGAGTTTGGGAAACCCTGTCTTACTGTACATTTTACAGGAAATGTTTTACAGTGTAGCTAACAGCATTCCAAGTCATGTCTCTACTTTTCTCTTCTTTCTTTCTTTCTTTCTTTCTTTCTTTCTTTCTTTCTTTCTTTCTTTCTTTCTTTCTTTCTTTCTTTCTTTCTTTCTTTCTTTCTTTCTTTCTTTCTTTCTTTCTTTCTTTCCTCCTCTGTCTCTCTGCAGTATGGAGAGTGGAACAGTGGCACCATGCTGGGTCCCAGGTTTGAGGGGGGAGCTGAGGGGGGCTGTTCGGACGACGAGGAGGACAGGGAGACCCTGTTTGGGTCGGAGCTGCTCTCGCCCAGCGGACAGACGGACGTGCAGACCCTCGCCATCATGCTGCAGGAGCAACTGGAGGCCATCAACAAGGAGATAAAGTAAGTCTTCCGATACACCGCAAACAGGAATGCTGGGTTTGACTGAATTCCTAACGGACCTAAAATTGCCTAAGAAATACCTCAATACCTCAATAAAACACTCTTACTATATCCTCTGTCCAATTCAGTGGGTGATCCAGAGGTCAATTGGGCACACAAAACCCCCACAATATCTAAAATCGACATCTCTTTGCTTTTCTACTCTGCTTTGTCCAAAGCAGGTGTGATACAGATAGAAAAACTCACACTCTTTACGCAATCCAGAGGTTTGCATATTATAAAGGAGTGATACCACAAACATGTATTCCTCATCTCATTGCGGCTATCCTCAGCTTAGTAGTAAAATCAGGAGTAATTTTCCTAATTTTCTCCCCTCTCCTTCTCTCCCTCTTTTTCTTCTCCTCTTTGCTCCTTTCCTCACCTCTCCAATGCCCTCCACTTGCCCCCCTCTGTCTCATCACTCTTCCTCTCCCCCCTTTCTCCTCTCCTCCCTCTTTGCCACTCTCCTCTCCTCTCAGGCTAATCCAGGAGGAGAAGGAGAGCACTGAGCTGAGGGCGGAGGAGATCGCGAGCCGGGTGAGCAGCGTGGCCATGGACTCCAACCCTCTCCCCCCCTCCTCGCTAGGCGGGGGCAGGGACAGTGTGGGGAGGGGCTACATGACCCCCTCCCTCACTTCCTCCACCCTGGCCTCCCCGTCTCCCCCCAGCTCTGGACATTCCACCCCCCGACACTCACATTCCCCTGCCCGAGAGTCAGATAGACAGGTATAGTACCGTACTGCTGGTGGCTATCTGTGTTTGGACACATCTAGCATTTCAATGTGCGCTTCTTGGTTGTTGCTCCCCAACGGGTAAGGCTAGTTGAAATGACATCAAAATGTCAGTTTACAATCAGAACTGGTTGTAACCTAGTTGTAACATCATTTCAACTAATTTTGCCCGCTGGGTAAAGGAGCTTCTTCTTAATGTCTACACTGTGTTTGATTGTGTTTGTTTGTGTGATTGGTCTTCTAAATATATTCTCATGCGGCAGCATGAGAAAAACACAGTGTGGTATTATTGTTGCTGCAGGTCTCAAGTGTACTGTGACTTAAACGAGCTGAATTGTTTACAGTACAACAAATACATAGAATGTTCTATTGTGATTTAAATGGATGGAACAGTTTATAGGGTTCCAAATGAATTAAACTAGCGAAGTTACTTGAATGAACACATCTTCCTACAGCAATTAAAATGGATTAGTTGTCTACAGTGACTCAATTGAACTGATTCTCTGTCAATACAGAACAGCAAAGAGAGCGACGACTGCCGGGCGCTAGCCCTGATTGACTCTACCCCTCCTCCAGTTCCTCGCGCTCTGCGATTGGACAGAATGACTCACACACACCCAGGGGCGGGGCTGGATGATCACCGCGAATTCCGCAGGTACAGAAATTACTTTAGTCTACATTGTGTGGTGTTTGTGTGTTTTCTGGGAAGCTAGGTAATATAATTGACTCCCTGTTGAAATAAAGACAAAATAATATAAATTAAATAATAGCTAGCCAATAGAATGGATTTAAAATAGACTAGATTACCAACTAGTTCAGTGACCCTCATGTAATGATGTGTCACCAGTGATGTTCTGAGATGAATTTGTCAGTCTGTCTGCTGATGGTGCAACCACCAGTAGTCAGGACTCTCTCCAAAAAGCCAGCAAGAAGAAGAGCATCAAGTCCTCCATTGGACGCCTGTTTGGAAAGAAGGAGAAAGGGAGGATCGGAGGACCTGGAAGTCAGTCTGCCTCTCTAGGTAAGTCAATATAGAGGGTTAACAATGTGTGTGGTATGAGGGTTTGAAACAATGTAAGGTTGCCTGCAAACTTATACAGTATACACTAATATACACGATTATACGCAATATAACAGTAATATAATTGACCCTAAAGAACATATATACAAAAAGGGCAGCTACTTTCACAGTTTTAATAAGAGAAACTGATGGCAAAACTGATTTTCCAGTAATCATGTGGAGTATTCCTAGACAAGGGCTCTCCAACCTTGTTCCTGGAGAGCTACCATCCTATAGGGTAGCTCTCCAGGAACAGGGATGGTGAGCCCTGTCCTAGACAGAGGGGGTTTAAGCCAGTGTCAAACTCATTCATTCCATGGAGGGCCTAGTGTCTGCAGGTTTTCGGTTTTTCCTTTCAATTAAGCCCTAGACAACCAGGTGTGGGGAGTTCCTTACCAATTAGTAACCTTAATTCATCAATCAAGTACGAGGGAGGAGTGAAAACCCGCAGACACTCTGCCCTCCGTGGAATGAGTTTGACACCTGTGGTTTAAGCAGTGTCTCACATGACCTTTGACCCCAGCCTCCACACCCTCTGATGACCTGGGATCAGCCGACCCCCTGGGCCTGGCCAAGATGGGAACTGGCACCGTGGAGAAAGATCGCCGCAGCAAGAAGAAGCATGACCTGCTAGAAGAAGCCTGTCGTCAGGGTCTTCCCTTTGCCTCATGGGATGGCCCCACTGTGGTCACATGGCTTGAGGTACGTTGTCTCATTGGTTAACTATCTGGGAGGAAATCATTAATGATGTGCAATTTTACCTGAAGGTGCTCCATCCAACTATGAATGAATCTGAATAACGTACATGATGAACATATTCTTCAATTCAATTCAGCCTTATTGGCACGTAATATGTGTGTAAATATTCCCAATGCATCTTCTCTCTGTCTCCCTCCAATTCCTCTTAGTTGTGGGTGGGCATGCCCGCCTGGTATGTGGCGGCGTGTCGTGCCAATGTGAAGAGCGGTGCCATCATGGCCAACCTGTCGGACACAGAGATCCAGCGGGAGATTGGCATCAGTAACCCCCTGCACCGCCTTAAACTGCGCCTGGCCATCCAGGAGATGGTGTCCCTCACCAGCCCCTCGGCACCGGCCAGCACACGCTCTGTAAGTGATACAGCATATACACGTAATAACCTGCACACAAACATTAGCATATGTTCAGTAACACATCCAGAAGTTTAAAAATGTCTGAGTGAAAATGTATTCAAACTGTAATCCTTTATTATTTTCCCATCTCAATCTGAAATTGTCCTCGATGACATCACAGTCGACCAGTAATATCTGGATGACTCATGCAGAAATGGAGTCACTGACCTCTGCCATAAAACCAGTAAGCTGTTTTGCTGATCTCTCTATTTTGTATTTGCTTGAAGTTCTCCTACAAAGTATCTTATTTCAAAAGTGATTAAATCTATGTTTGACATTTTGTGCAACTCAATTATCTAACGGTAGTGTATTAATTCCAAACTGTATAAGAATTGATGGTACACATCTAACTTGCTTAAAATCATCAAGCAACTTGAGACTATGCTGAATGAAATGCCATTTATGATTTGTTTTCTTTGTCTTTCTCTCTGATTAGGCATATATTTGCTGCACCTTTCCCCCACTACTCCCCCAATTTGTCTTTGAATGTAGTGCTTCTCCAACTAATTTTCCTTCACTAACAAACTATTCCTCCTTCTGCCCCTCCTTCCTTACATCCTCTCCTCTCTATAATGCATCCTGCCATTTACCGTTCTGGCAATCGTTCCTTCTCCCTCTCCCTCCATATCTATCCTGTTTTCTCTCTTTCCCTTTCCTTTGCCTCCACTGAAGGAAGTGAAGGAGTTCAGCTGGGACCAGGTGAGTTGTTGTTTTTGTCATTAATATTACTGTCATCATCAGCAAAATGATATCAATGATATCACATTGCAAACAGATCATAAATCCCATCCCAAACCTGGAAATGTTCCTTTCAATTATTTTACAGACTTTTTGTCCGCTTCAAATTAACTTTCCTCTTTACTCAGGACCGGGATTGAGGTCAACTCTATCTGTCGATCTATCTCAGAGAAGATGTTGGAAGGAAATATAGGACATTTAAATAAATTGTCTCTCAGAGGACATTCACTGTCTCATGCTCTCTCTTACCCACTTTTTCTCTCGTTTCTATATCCCACCTCCCTCCCTCCTTCCCCCCTATGTTTTGTATCCCAACACGCCTTCTCTCTCTACTTCTCTCTCCCTCCCTCTTCCCCCCATCTAGATCCTGGCCTACGGGGACATGAATCATGAGTGGGTAGGGAACGAGTGGCTGCCCAGCCTGGGTCTGCCCCAGTACCGTTCCTACTTCATGGAGTCCCTGGTGGACGCTCGCATGCTGGACCACCTCACCAAGAAGGAGCTTAGAGGACAGCTCAAAATGGTGGACAGCTTCCACAGGTTGGATTCAAATAGTTTCAATCAATCTTTACTGTCATCGAAGGGCAATCTGTGTATGGAAGCATATTTATGCCAAAATCTTGGTGTTGATTTGGTACAAATCTGCTTCCTTAATTTGTGTGCTGCATGAAAACATAAAGGAAAATACTGATCATAAACAGCAAAGATGAGTAGTGGGATGGGAATATTAAATGTACAATACCAAAGGGCATCTTGTCTAGTGTCCTCTGCTTAGTTACATATATCAGTGGTTTTTACATATACAGTGAGCACCATAATTCATTGGACAGTGACCATTTTTTTGTTATTTTGGTTCTGTACTCTAGCACTTTGAGTTTGAAAGGATACAATGACAATGAGGGTTAAGTGCAGACTGTCAGCTTTAATTTGAGGGTATTTTCATACATATCGGATGAACCGTTTAGAAATTCTACAAGCTTTTGTACATGGTCCCCCCAATTTTCGGGCATCAAAAAACATTGGACAGTTTAACATAATGTAGAATAAAGTAATCATTGTTAATATTTGGTCGCATATCCTTTGCATGCAATGACTGCTTGAAGTCTGCGATGCATCGACATCACCAGACGCTGGGTATCTTCCCTGGTGATGCTCTGCCAGGCCTGTACTGCAGCCATCTTCAGTTCCTGCTTGTTTCTGGGACTTATTGCCTTCAGTCTCCTCTTAAGCATGTAAAATGCATGTTCAATTGGATTCCGATCCGGTGATTGACTCGGCCAGTCAAGGATTTTCCACTTTTTGGCCATCAAAAACCCCTTTGTTGCTCTAGCAGTATGTTTAGGATCATTGTCTTGTTGCATGATGACGTGCCGTCCAATGAGTTTGGAGGCGTTTGGTTTTATCTGAGCAGATAAAATATTTCTGTAGACTTCAGCATTCATTGTTCTACTTCTGTCTGCAGTCACATCATCGATGAAGACAAGTGAGCCTGTTCCACTGGCAACCATACAGGCCCAAGACATAACACCCCCTCCACCATGTTTCACGGATGAGGTGGTATGCTTTGGATCATGGGCATTTATTTATTTTTCTCCACACTTTCCTCTTTCAATCACTCTGGTACATGTTCATCTTTGTTACATCTGTCCACAATACTTTTTTCCAGAACTCTTGGTGCTCTTATAGGTGCTTTTTAGCAAACTATAATCTCGCCTTTCTGTTATTCAGGCTTATCAGTGGTTTGCATCTTGTAGTGTACCCTCTGTAGTCCTGCTGGTGTAGTCTTCTACGTATGGTAGACTTTGACACATCTACACCTGCATCCAGGAGAGTGTTTTTGATCTGTTGGGCTGTTGTCAGGGGGGTTTTCTTCACCATAGAGAGTATTCTCCGGTCATCCACTACAGTGGTCTTCCTCGGTCTACCGGGTCTTTTGACATAATTGAGTTTACCGGTTGTTTTTTTCTTGTTAATGATGAACCAAACTGTTGACTTGGGCATGGCCAGGGTTTTTGCAATGTTCCTGATTGATTGATTTTCATTTCTGAGCCTTATGACGGCCAGCTTCATTTGCATCGACACTGCTGTCTTCCTCATGTTGTCACACCCCAGGCTTGTTGCTCGTCGACTTGTCCATAGGCCTCCCGCACGTACACTCTTCTAACTTAGCCTGCCGAAGATGTCCTCCAAAGGCAATAGCAAAGTCTAGAATCAATACTATTCATCAACAGCTCTCCTGCATTCACTAACGAAATAAATGAATATACCTGGCTAACGACACATCTGTGAAGCCAATTTAACAAATACTTGTAGTACCTTAAAATGGGAGGACCATGTACAAAAGGTGCTGTCATTTCTAAACGGTTCATCCGATATGTATGAAAATACCCTCAAATTAAAGCTGACAGTCTGCACTTCACCCTCATTGTCATTGTATCCTTTCAAACTCAAAGTGCTAGTGTACAGAACCAAAATAAATAAATAAAATGTTCACTGTCCAATGAATATTTCTTATCATCATCTCTTTTATTCCTCTTCTCTAGAGTATAAGGGGTTGGTTGTCACACATTTTACTGTTGTGTGTATTTCTCAGCACCAGTAGACTCTATATATACAAAAGTATGTGGACACCTCTCAAGTTAGTGGATTCAGCTATTTCAGCCACAGGTTTCTAAAATCGAGCACACAGCCATGCAATCTCCATAGACAAACATTGGCAGTAGAATGGCCTTACTGAAGAGCTCAGTGACTTTCAACGTGGCACCGTCATAGGATGTTCGTCAAATTTCTGCACTGCTAGAGCTACCCCGGTCAACTGTAAGTGCTGTTATTTGTGAAGTTGAAATGTCTAGGAGCAACAAAGGCTTAGCCGTGAAGTGATAGGCCACACAAGCTCACAGAACGGGACCGCCGAGTGCTGAAGCGCGCAACGCGTAAAAATCGTCTGTCCTCGGTTGCAACACTCACTACCGAGTTCCAAACTGCATCTGGAAGCAACGTCAGCACAATAACTGTTTGTCAAGGGCTTCATGAAATGGGTTTCCATGGCCAAGCCTCACCATGCACAATGCCATGCGTCTGCTGGAGTTGTGTAAAGCTCACCGCCATTGGACTCTGGAGCAGCTGTTTTTCATGTTTTGGGCTAGGCCCCTTAGTTCCAGTGAAGGGAAATCTTAACTCTACAGTATACAATGACATTCTAGACGATTCTGTGCTTCGAACTTTGTGGCAACAGTTTGGGGAAGGCCCTTTCCTGTTTTAGCATGACAATGCCCCCGTGCACAAAGCGAGGTCCAAACAGAAATGGTTTGTCGAGATCTGTGTGGAAGAACATGACTGGCCTGCACAGAGCCCTGACCTCAACCGCATCGAACACCTTTGGGATGAATTGGAACGCCGACTGTGAGCCAGGCCTAATCACCCAACATCAGTGCCCGACCTCACTAATGCTCTTGTGGCTGAATGGAAGCAAGTCCCCGCAGCAATGTTCCAACATCTAATGGAAAGCCTTCCCAGAAGAGTGGAGGGTGTTATACCAGCAATGGGGGGACCAACTCCATATTAATGACCATGATTTTGAAATGAGATGTTCGATGAGCAGGTGTCCACATACTTTTGGTTATGTAGTGTATCTTACAATGCTTTTTCAATATTAGGAGAAAGACTTGAAATGTGGACCATTTTTATCCTCATATCTTATTCCATAAGCCATCAAACACACTTTGTCCACTTGTGACAACCATGGATGTCATACAGTATGGGTTTGGTTGTTTGCTAGTAGCGTATTCCTTTTGTAACAGGAAATGAAGCAATATAGCATACAGAATCTTACAAATAGCCTTTCTTTGATCGAACGATATTCCTATCAAAATTCAGAATTTTAGGCCGTAAGAATAACAAATTACCTTTTTAGTAAATTTGTGAATGTTTGCACATGTGGGTGTGCATGTGTGGGTGTGTGACAGAAACAAATACAGGAAACAAAGGGAGCTCTTTATAGCACATGGAGTTGATAGTGACAACCAACCCCATATTCCACGTGACAACTATCTGTCACTTTACCGATGTGGATGTGGTGGAGGAGTCAAGCGCAGGAAACAGAGGTTAGTCCAACAAGACTTTAATAGTCTAAATAACACGAGTAGAAAACCCCGACCTCGAAAAATACACGAAGTGGCGAGGGAAAATTACGCACACGCGTAAAACACTAAACATGAAACACAACGGAAAACAAGCACGTAGCATAGACAAAGTGCCAACAAAATAACAACACACAATTACCCTAGAGCAAAACAAGGAACTTATAAGACACGTAATCAACACCCAAACAGACACAGGTGTGACAGACAGACAAAAGCAATCAACTACAGAAACATAGAGCGGTGGCAGCTAGTACTCCGGGGACGGCGAGCGCCGAAGCCTGCCCGAACCAGGAGGAGGAGCAGCCTCGGCCGAAACCGTGACAGTACCCCCGGAGCCGCGCGCCGACCCCGGCCTCGGGGACGGCCAGGAGGACGCGGACCCGGGCGCGTGGGATGCCCACGGTGAAACTCAGTCAGGAGGGATGGATCGAGTATGTCCCTCCTGGGCACCCAGCACCGTTCCTCCGGACCGTACCCCTCCCACTCCACGAGATACTGGAGACCACTCCTCCGGCGCCTCGAGTCCAAGATGGTCCGGACCCTGTACGCCGGGGCCCCCTCGATGTCCAAAGGGGGCGGAGGGGTCTCTCCTATCTCATCTTCTTGGAGTGGGCCAGCTACCACCGGCCTGAGAAGAGACACATGGAACGAGGGGTTAATATTTTTATACTCAATTGGCAGTTGTAACCTGTAACACACCTCGTTCAATCTTCTCAGGACTTTGAAGGGCCCCACAAACCTCCGACCCAGCTTCCGGCAGGGCAGGCGGAGGGGCAGGTTTCGAGTCGAGAGCCAGACTCGATCTCCCGGTGCGTACACCGGTCCCTCACTGCGGTGGCGATCGGCGCTCGCCTTTTGTTGACGGATGGCACGCTGCAGATGGACATGGGCAGCGTCCCACGTCTCCTCCGAGCGCCGAATCCACTCTTCCACCGCAGGGGCCTCGATCTGGCTCTCGTGCCACGGTGCCAGGACCGGCTGATAACCTAAAACACACTGGAAAGGTGTTAAGTTGGTGGAGGAGTGGCGGAGAGAGTTCTGGGCCATCTCTGCCCAGGGGATGAACCTCGACCACTCCTCCGGCCGGTCCCGGCAATAGGACCTCAAAAACCTACCCACATCCTGGTTGACACGTTCCACCTGCCCATTACTCTCTGGGTGGTACCCCGAGGTAAGGCTTACCGAGACCCCCAACCGTTCCATGAACGCTCCCCAAACTCTGGAAGTGAACTGGGGACCTCGGTCAGACACAATATCCTCGGGGACCCCATAGTGCCGGAACACATGGGTAAATAGGGCCTCAGCGGTTTGTAGGGCAGTAGGGAGACCCAGCATGGGAAGGAGACGACAGGCCTTGGAAAACCGATCCACAACGACCAATATGGTGGTATTCCCCTGGGAGGGGGGTAGGTCTGTTACGAAATCCACCGATAGGTGGGACCATGGTCGTTGTGGAACGGGCAGGGGATGTAGCTTACCCCTGGGCAAATGTCTAGGTGCCTTACACTGGGCACACACCGAGCAGGAGGAGACATAAACCCTCACATCCCTAGCTAACGTTGGCCACCAGTATTTCATGCTAAGACAGTGCACGGTCCGGCCAATACCTGGATGTCCAGAGGAGGGTGATGTATGAGCCCAATAAATAAGACGATCACGGACCTCGAGCTGAACGTACGTCCGCCCCACAGGACACTCGGGGGGAGTAGGGTCGGTACGCAGTGCCCGCTCGATTTCCGCATCGACCTCCCATACCACCGGAGCCACCAAACAAGATTCCGGCAATATGGAAGTAGGCTCGTTGGACCTCTCCTCCGTGTCATACCGCCAGGACAGGGCGTCTGCCTTACCATTCTGGGACCCTGGGATGTATGTGATCTTAAAAACAAACCGGGTTAGGAACATATTCCACCTAGCCTGACGAGGGTTCAATCTCCTAGCTGCCCGGATGTACTCCAGGTTACGGTGATCAGTCAGAATGAGGAAAGGGTGTTGAGCCCCCTCAAGCCAATGCCTCCACACCTTTAGGGCTTGGACTACGGCTAACAGCTCCCTGTCCCCAACATCATAGTTGCGCTCCGCCGAGCTGAGCTTCTTAGAGTAGAAAGCACAGGGGCGGAGTTTAGGTGGCGCGCCGGACCGTTGTGACAGGACTGCCCCAATACCGGTCTCGGACGCGTCTACCTCAACCTGGAATGGTAAAGAGGGATCCGGATGCGCCAGCACCGGAGCCGAGGTGAACAGGTTCTTCAGTTTGACAAATGCCCTGTCCGCCTCAGCCGACCACTGCAAACGAACCGGACCCCCCTTTAGCAGGGACGTAATGGGAGCTGCAACCTGTCCAAAACCCCAAATAAACCTCCGGTAGTAATTAGCAAAACCCAAGAACTGCTGCACCTCTTTTACAGTGGTTGGAGTTTGCCAATTACGCACGGCCGATACCCGGTCTACCTCTATCTCCACACCAGACGCGGACAACCGATAACCCAAAAAGGAGACGGACTCCTGGAAGAACAGGCATTTCTCTGCCTTGACATACAAGTCATGCTCCAACAGTCTTCTCAACACTCGGCGCACCTGGGCTACATGCTCGGCTCGAGTAGCAGAGTACACTAGGATGTCGTCGATGTAAACTACTACCCCCCTGCCCATGCATGTCCCGGAAAATCTCGTCAACAAAGGATTGGAAGACTGAAGGAGCATTCATTAACCCGTATGGCATGACGAGATACTCGTAATGACCCGAGGTGGTGCTAAATGCTGTCTTCCATTCATCCCCCTCCCTAATGCGCACCAGATTGTACGCGCTCCTGAGATCCAACTTTGTGAAGAACCGCGCTCTGCGTAATGATTCCGTCATCGTCGCAATCAGTGGAAGTGGGTAGCTGTATTTAACTGTGATCTGATTGAGACTACGATAATCAATACACGGGCGCAATCCCCCGTCCTTCTTCTTCACAAAGAAGAAACTCGAGGAGACTGGGGAAGTAGAGGACCGTATGTATCCCTGTGCCAAGGACTCGGCTATGTATGTCTCCATAGCCGCTGTTTCCTCTTGAGACAGGGGATACACATGACTCCGTGGAAGAGCCGCTCCTGTTTGGAGATTTATCGCACAGTCCCCCTGTCTATGAGGAGGTAGCCGTGTTGCCCTCGATTTGCTAAACACGAGTGCTAAATCCTCATACTCGGGGGGAATGCGCAGTGCGGGCACTTGGTTCGGACTCTCTACCGAGGTCGCCCCTACGGAAACACCTAGACATCTCCCTACACACTGGGCAGACCACTCCATAAGAGCCCTCTGTTGCCACGCTATGGTAGGATCATGGGTGCTTAACCAGGGAAGGCCCAACACCACGGGGTACGAAGGAGAGTCAATCAGATAAAACTGAATGATCTCCTCATGACCCCCCTGCGTCGTCATCGTCAGTGGCGCTGTGACCTCCCTGATCAGGCCCGACCCCAACGGCCGGCTGTCTAAGGCGTGGACAGGAAATGGAGCTTCTACCGGCCGAAGGGGAATTCCTAACCTACTACAAAATGCCCGATCAATAAAGTTCCCAGCTGCGCCTGAATCTACTAGCGCCTTATGCTGGGAATGAGGTGCCACCTGTGGAAACCTCACAGGAATACTCATGTGACCAAAAGAGAGCTCTGGGTAAGTGGGGCGCCTACTCACCTGAAATGACTCCCCAGTGCGTGGCCTGTTGTCACCTCTCCCAGGAGACCCTCCCCAGCACCTGGCCGCAGTGTGTCCTCCACGACCGCAGGTGGTGCAGGGGATGGCCCCTCTCGGGTTCCCTCTCCTCCTCTCTCTAGCGCCAGCACCCCCGAGCTCCATGGGAATCGGCTCGGGGGTGCTGGAGGGTGGACTGGATGACCCCCACTCGGGAAGTCCGCGGGTAGCCAGCAGGGTGTCCAGACGGATGGAAATGTCCACCAACTGGTCAAACGACAGGTTGGTGTCCCTGCAGGCCAGCTCCCGACGAACGTCCTCTCGTAGACTACACCGGTACTGGTCGATGAGGGCCCTCTCATTCCACCCCGCATCCGCCGCTAGTGTCCGAAACTCCAGTGCGAACTCCTGTGCGCTCCTCTTCCCCTGTCTGAGGTGGAATAGACGCTCTCCCGCCGCTTTCCCCTCAGGTGGATGATCGAAGACAGCCCTGAAGCGGCGGGAGAACTCCGCGTAGGTGATGGTTGCGGCGTCTATTCCCCTCCATTCGGCGTTGGCCCACTCCAACGCCTTGCCGGAGAGACAGGAGATGAGGGCGGAGACGCTCTCGTATCCCGAGGGCGCCGGGTGTATGGTGGCAAGGTAAAGTTCCACCTGCAGAAGGAATCCCTGACACCCGGCTGCAGAACCGTCATATGCCCTCGGGAGCGAGAGCCGAATGCCACTGGGTTCCGGTGCTGAGAGAGGAGGACTGGCCGTTGGTGATGAGTTGTTGTAAGGGTCCTTGGCCACCTCTTGATTCACCAATCGGCACAGAGTGTTGGACACCTCGTCCATGGCGGTCCCGAGTTGCCGGATCATGGCGTCCTGGAAGTTGATCCGGTCCAGCAGGGATTCGGGTGCCGCCGCTGTTCCTGCTGACTCCATGATGGTGTGTTGTTCTGTCACTTTACCGATGTGGATGTGGTGGAGGAGTCAAGCGCAGGAAACAGAGGTTAGTCCAACAAGACTTTAATAGTCTAAATAACACGAGTAGAAAACCCCGACCTCGAAAAATACACGAAGTGGCGAGGGAAAATTACGCACACGCGTAAAACACTAAACATGAAACACAACGGAAAACAAGCACGTAGCATAGACAAAGTGCCAACAAAATAACAACACACAATTACCCTAGAGCAAAACAAGGAACTTATAAGACACATAATCAACACCCAAACAGACACAGGTGTGACAGACAGACAAAAGCAATCAACTACAGAAACATAGAGCGGTGGCAGCTAGTACTCCGGGGACGGCGAGCGCCGAAGCCTGCCCGAACCAGGAGGAGGAGCAGCCTCGGCCGAAACCGTGACACTATCCCCCCCCCCGGATGCATGCCATGTTGACATGAATTGACCAGGTGCATGAGTTCTTTCAAATAATTCACATATTTTAACCTTTAAAATATTACACAGTGCCATTTAGATTGGGAGTAATTAGCACTGTGACAACCAACCCGTAAGACAACCAACCCCGGTCTCCTCTACTCAGTATTCTTTTTTTATTTTCTCCAGTTTCTCTGCATCAGGGTTTTTAATGTGGTTGTGTGTTTGGTTCTGAGGACATCAACAGTATCGCTCTATCTCTTTCTCCCTCTCTTTCTTTCTTTCTCTTTCTCTCTCAGGGTCAGTCTTCATTATGGCATCATGTGCTTGAAGCGTTTGAACTATGACAGGAAGGAGCTAGAAAGGAGGAGGGATGAGAGCCAACATCTGAACCAAGGTGAGAATACTCTACACAGGTAACTTGAGTCGTAACATATTTGGGGGCTCGTCTGATATTGCCAATGATTGTTGTCTTGCAAATAAAACAGAGGTAACTTGGGCTATAACATCACCCATATTCTTTGTCTCTCAAATGCTAATCTTCACAGTTTTTTTTAACCTCACTCGATTGTTATTGTACTACAGTAGCTGCCTCTTTCTGCCCCCTCCCTAGATGTGATGGTATGGTCCAATGAGCGAGTGATGTGTTGGGTCAAGGCCATTGGGCTAAAGGAGTTTGCAGATAATCTCACAGAGAGTGGGGTCCATGGGGCCCTCCTAGCCCTGGACGACACGTTCGATTACACCGACCTAGCCCTGCTCATCCAGATACCCAATCAGAACACACAGGTACCTTCCCTTCCTGCTACACTCAAAAAAATGCTGGCTTGAAAACGACCCAGTTTGGGATATTTGCTAACCCAAAGCTAGGGATGGGCTTTTGAAATAGTTTCACTATTCGAATAATATCATGATTTTTTTTCGGATATCCGGATAGTCTAAATACATTTTAAACTTCAATGGGGACTTGCTCGTGCGACTCAGGAGGTGCACTCTGCTTGTTGTTTCAGCACAGAAGGGTGTGGGAGGGGCAGAGTGTCTGACATCGAGGGAGAGTGAGAGAAAGTAGCCAAACCAACTTGCGCAAGTTAGACAAACTTGTTGCCGCAATAGATTATCTATCATCTCATCTGGCAGTGTCTGTCTTGACTGCATCAAATTGATGTAAAGAAGCTAGCTAGCTACACTATCCAACTAAGTTAGCCAGATAGCTAGCTAGCAAGGCTAATTGAGGCTATTTTGCTTCGCTCCCCATCCAACAACTCCATTCATATTAAACAACAGCCTACCTATTGGATGATCATTGTAGCCTACTCCTTCTCATTTAGCCAATAATTCAATTTACCATTGATTAGAAATCTCCCACTTCACTTGCTACACATGGAGCCTCTGACTGTAAAGCTGCTTTGATTGACTGACAATAACAAGCTACACACGTGAAAAGTGTCTAGGCTACCGGTAAGTATTTTTTTATGGCCGCACTCATAAAAACTGTAATAAAACTGTTTTATTAACATTTTGAATGTCATGGTCTATCTTTGCATGTAGCAATGTCACGTAGATAGTAAAAATTTAGGCAAAGCCTTTTAATAAAAATTAAAAGTATATATATATTGGTTCTTTCAAAAATGTATACTCTCGCAAGTAATCGAATAATAACGATTGAATATTCGGGTAAATATTGGACAGAACACACACTGGGTTATTTTGACTCAGCCAGTTGGGTTGCGTGAATAACCCAAGATGTTGGGTTGTTTGGATTACACAAACATTGGCTAATTTAACCATCCGTTTTTATTCACTTTCATTCTGGGTTGACCCAGGGGTGAATGACTGACTGCACCCTCTCATTGAAGCCATGACAGTTCAAGGCCAACCGCAGTACTGCAGGAATTGTTAGCAGAAAACAGGATCCCCTATTATAGTGAATGGAACAATTGCAATCTTTGTGGTAAATGTTAGTGTAAATAAAATAAAAATGTAACACAATCATGGTACCAATAATAGCTTCTAATACAAACAATGTACACTCACCGGAAAGTGTATTAGGTTCACCCGTCTAGTACCGTGTCGGACCACCCTTTGCCTCCAGAACAGCCTGAAATCTTCAGGTCATGGATTCTACAAGGTGTCGAAAACATTAGTTGCTCAATTGATATCAAGGGACCTAATGTCTGCCAGGAAAACATTCCCCACACCAGGACACCATGGACTCATGCTGCTTACGCCAAATCCTGACTCTGCCATCAGCATGACGCAACAGGAACCAGAATTAATTAGACCAGGCAATGTTTTTCCACAGGCAATGTTTTTCCTGTGTTGGTGATCGTGTGCCCACTGGAGCCACTTCTTCTTGTTTTTAGCTGATAGGAGTGGAACCCGGTGTGGATGCCTGCTGCAATAGACGATCCATAGCAAGGATCGACCAGTTGGGCGTTCCGAGATTCCGTTCTGCAAACCACTGTTGTACTGCACCTTTATTTGCCTGTTTGTGGCCCACCTGTTAGCTTGCACCATTCTTGCCATTCTCTTTCGACCTCTCTCATCAGCTGTTTTCGCCCACAGGACTGCCGCTGACTGGATGTTGCTGTTTTTTTGTCACACCATTCTCTGTAAACCCTAGACACTGTTGTGCGTGAAAAGCCCAGGATGTCCCAACGCTGACGTCACCCAATTGAAGTTGAAATGTAAAAGAGTTAAGGTTAGGGGTTATGGTTAGGTTAGGGTTTAGTGTCACGAGCGCCAATGAAGTACGACCAAAGCGCAGCGTTGGGAGTGAACATGATGATTTTAATGTTGAAACACACGACAAAACACGATCCGTGACGTCCTCAGTTACACCGACTGAACATAGAACAAAAACCCACAAACACAAGGTGAAAACACACACTTTAAATATGGCTCCCAATCAGAGATAACGAGCCGACAGCTGACACTCGTTACCTCCGATTGGGAGTCACAAGACCAATTACCCCAAAAACACAAACAAATGAAACGCACCCATACCCAACACCACCAAATGAAATACACCCTGACTCTAACTACACAGTCCCAGAGCCAGAGTGTGACAGTACCCCCCCCCCAAAGGCGCGGACTGCGACCGCGCCTAACTACAAGCAAACGGGGGAGGGCTGGGTGGGCATTCCTCCTCGGCGGCGGCTCCGGCTCCGGGCTTCCTCCCCACTTCCTCTCCAACCCCCCAAAGTACCCCTGGGCCTGTCTAGCCCCGCTGGCCGGAACCGGACTGACGACACGCGCCCCTGGCTTGGTGCGAGGATCCTGGCTGGACGGCTCTGGCAGATCCCGGCTGGACGGCTCTGGCGGATCCCGGCTGGACGGCTCTGGCGGATCCCGGCTGGACGGCTCTGGCGGATCCCGGCTGGACGGCTCTGGCGGATCCCGGCTGGACGGCTCTGGCGGATCCCGGCTGGACGGCTCTGGCGGATCCCGGCTGGAAGGCTCTGCAGGATCCCGGCTGGAAGGCTCTGGCGGATCCCGGCTGGACGGCTCTGGCGGATCCCGGCTGGACGGCTCTGGCGGATCCCGGCTGGACGGCTCTGGCGGATCCCGGCTGGACGGCTCTGGCGGATCCTGGCTGGACGGCTCTGGCGGATCCTGGCTGGACGGCTCTGGCGGATCCTGGCTGGACGGCTCATGGCTGGCTACGGACTGGCTGCTCATGGCTGGCGCGGATGGCTGCTCATGGATGGCTGACGGATCTGGCGCTCATGGCTGGCGACGGTCTGGCTGCTCTGGCTGGCGGAAGGATCTGGCTGATCTGGCTGCGGAAGGATCTGGCTGTCAGGCTGGCGGAAGGCTCTGGCTGATCCTGTCGGCGGACGGCTCTGGCTGATCCGGGTCGTCTGGCGGACGGCTCTGGCTGGACATGGCTGACTGACGCATCCCGTAGGCCTCGGTGCTTGAGGACGGCCGGCTGGCTGCGAAACTGCACACAGACTTGGTGCGGGCGAGGAACGGCCGACTGGGCTGGCGAGACCCTTTAGGCTTGGTGCGTTGAGCAGGAACAGACAGAACCGCACTGGGGACACACACCCCTGGCCCTACACGGGGATCAGGAACGGGCCGGACCGGACTGGAAACACCCCCCAGTACCTCTCGCCGTGCCTCCACACTTTCCATCCCCTTCGTAACCAGTGGCCCCCTTAAACTGGCGGCCATCTCTGCCAACCTCTTGCACTCCTCCGGGCCGTACACCTTCTGCCCCGACGTCGTGAGCCCCCCCCTAAAAATTTTCTGGGGGTCTCTCCTCTCGGTGGACCAGGCCTCCATAGTCCTCTCCCAACCTTCGCTCTTCTGGCTCCACCACTCGTATTCCAACTGCTGCTTGGTCTCGTTGTGGTGGGTTTTTCTGTCACGAGCGCCAATGAAGTACGACCAAAGCGCAGCGTTGGGAGTGAACATGATGATTTTAATGTTGAAACACACGACAAAACACGATCCGTGACGTCCTCAGTTACACCGACTGAACATAGAACAAAAACCCACAAACACAAGGTGAAAACACACACTTTAAATATGGCTCCCAATCAGAGATAACGAGCCGACAGCTGACACTCGTTACCTCCGATTGGGAGTCACAAGACCAATTACCCCAAAAACACAAACAAATGAAACGCACCCATACCCAACACCACCAAATGAAATACACCCTGACTCTAACTACACAGTCCCAGAGCCAGAGTGTGACATTTAGGGTAGGGACGTCCCAAGAATAGCACTAACCCTTTTTTATTCTAATCCATTTGCAGGCGTGGCTTTCAGATAGTTATTTTTGGCCACCCGTGAGAGTAAATGTCATTCCTGTTCATCATGTTACGTTTGTACACTGCAAATTTCAATTTTCCTTGAATATTTTTGATCTTTACAAATTCTAATATAAACTGAATAACAATATTATTTCTAAACCTTTTCACACGTACCAACAAACGGGTGTGATCATTCTACAGTGGTCCCTGCAGCGTACGCTCAAACTGGTGTGATTAGAACACTTATTTAGAACGTCCAGTTTCAATTGACGCAACAGTCAGCATTTGAGCTAGCCACACTGTTTTTTCACAGAAACATTTTGCACAAACACAGTCCTTACAAAGTTATTTACATTTTACATTTTAGTCATTTAGCAGACGCTCTTATCTAGAGTGACTTACAGTTAGTGAGTGCATACATTTTCATACTGGCCCCCCTTATGAAACGAACCCACAACCCTGGCGTTGCAAGCGCCATGCTCTACCAACTGAGCTACAGGGGACCTATATTCAGAGTTATGTCCTGAATATGACCAGTTAATTTTTTGGATGCACTGTTCAGACATTCACAGAAGTAGTGACAGCATACACAATCATTCAAATCTGAAAATGTAGGCTACATTAGTCCTAGTGCTAACTGAGGAAAGATTGACGTAACACAAGCGGTCATATTTAGATAACTCTTGGCTGTCAGAAACCACAATATGAATTAGCTAATAGCAATTACTATTTATAATTCATCACATCCCGGGTGAGCTCACCATTGATCGAAATAATTGAGTAAAACACTTTGCAGAAATCGAAAGTAATCCGACGATGGGTAGTTTGTGCGCGCCACCATGTTTGTTTTTTTGCCTCAACCAAAGATAATAAGAGGAGACAAGAAGAGTTTGGTCTGTTTGCAGTATGCATGTTGAAGGGGGAGTGTCATCTACGATCATTCAGTTCCCATCATTCACTTCCGAAAGTTTACTTGAAAAATGAGTGAACCATTCCTTCACCTCATTATAACATCTTTGGTCTGACAGATGTTTACGTGACAACCAGAATGCATGGTATAATGTCAACAAACATGGCGCCACACATAGCTGGCAAATAACTTAGCATTAGCTCATTATAATCAGTAGAACCTTCAAAAAAGTATTTTACACACGTCATAGGTGTCTATTACGATACATGCAAAAATCGGAATGCATTATTTGTCACCAGTACTTGAAAACGTGAATAAAACTGTAAATACATTATGCTCCATACATACAAAACATACATACATGCAAACTGTATGCTACAGTAGAAACGACAACACGATATACAGAAAATAAGGCACTTACTTTGATAGGAACGCACACATGTCCAAAGTTATTATTTGTAAGGAAAACAACAAGGCAGGCAATGCGAGCACCAGCCAGAAAATGTTCCAATTTGTGCATATTTGATCTGCAGAAACATTGGTGAAGACGTGCTTGGGCTCTCCTCGAAGAGAGAAGTTTGTCCGGCTCAGTAAAGACTCACACATAAATTGTCTGCTACGCTGAAATTGGGAGGCGGAACACACCTCAATTCAAACTGTTGTTATAAAATAAAACTTGTTAGAAAATAATTTGAAATTGACAAGTTGAAACATAGCCTATAGATAATTAGCAGGCAGCGCGTGTTAACTGTCCTGTTGCGTAACAATCACATTTTGGAACAGTGAGTGCATTTTGACATGTGAATAGGTTAATATTGTAACAACGTGGTAACTATCCCTCATTAAAGCTACACAAGCGTTAGTGTTCAACCTGCACATGTGATAACAATACAACAGAACAGATTAACCGGAATGACATTTACTCTCACGTGTGGCCAAAAACAACTATCTGAAAGCCACGCCCCTACTAAGCCATGCCTACAGTCTATCTCAATAACCCAAAGTCTAAGAAGCGGTAGATCTGTTCTATGTGCGCCTTTTCTATGCTTACCATTCTTACATTTAGTTTTTGCATTTTTTACTTTGGTACTTTTGTACACCAGCTTCAAACAAGCTGAAAATACAATATCTTTGAAAATATGTTAGATGGTACAATGATTCTCTACACTATACTTGTTTTGTTGCTTATTTTGTCACATAAATTGAAATTAGGCAAACTATTAGAATTTTTCAACCAGGAAATGGTGGTGGGATTTTTCCATATCGCACCTTTAAAACTGAAACAGTTTCTCTCAACTCCATGGAGAAATTTGTAGAATTGCAGAAAATTTGCTTAAATATTCAAAAATGTCTCTACACCGCCAAGATGGGGTCCTCTAAAATGTTCTCTAAAATCCAGCCATGCCGACGGGCCGACCACAATCCAATCAGAGCACAGGCACTCCTCATTCTACTATCGTAGTCTCATCAGAACAACCCTCATTCACCACAATCACCAACCTACTTCATTTACCTTACTTACAACTGTTTGGTAACTCAATTTAATCAAGAAATCCCCTTGATAATCTTAATTGTAATCTTAATACACTCATTATTTCTCTCCCAGGCGAGGCAGATGCTGGAGAAGGAGTACAATGCTCTCATCTCCATTGGAACGGAGAGAAGGCCAGATGAGGTAAAAATAATAATAATCAAAGAATGCCAATGAAAACAACATCAATAAAGTTAATCCTCAATGATAATGACTCATACAAGCAAGCGTTACAATCTTTATGAAATGGTAGGTGGATAGTTGCCTGCCTAAGGTTATTGCTCATGAAGATAGGCAGTTTGTTTCAACCAACATTAACTGTGGGAACCATGTGCATGTATTTTTCCCACATGCTGTTCTATAGTATACCTAACTAGCACTTGGGAAATCTAATGAATATCATCATACAATATTGTCTGCGTCTCGTTGACAGGATGGCACTAAGACGTTCACACGCTCACCCTCGTGGAGGAAGATGTTCAGAGAGAAGGACCTCCGGGGCGTGACCTCTGATTCCTCGGAAACGTTACCCGCCAACTTCCGTGCCTCCGCCATCTCCACGCCCTCCGTCACCCTGAGGAAAGTCCAAAGTGAAGGTGAGGTGGTCGTCGCTTTCATCTCCTTCCCACTGGGGACCTGCTATTTGGGTCATTGGTTCCATGCTGACCACCCATTTCAGTGTTTATGACTGGAAATCTAGTGTCATTGACAGGTGTTTAAAATCGTAGTGCTATCTGTTTCAGTGAACTCCGGGCCCAGGGGTGAGTCGGGGTCAGTGAGAACATATTCCTGCTAGAGATAAGGACACCAGGTGAGAAAAATACTTAATTGCCAAATAATATCATAAACGTGTACAAGGTTGTAAAGTAGTCCTGGCTCAACAAAACATAAACTTTTTAACATTTAGAATGTTGCTTTTGTCACCTTCTGTAAGAGTGTCTGAATTTCAGTCACCCAAACATGTTATCCAATTCATTTCAACAATTTCAGTAATTCCATGCATCCAAACACATTTCAGTAATTAATATCAGTTATCCAAACACATTTCAGTAATTTCAGTCATCTCAGACATCCAAACACATTTCAGTATTCTCAGTCATCCAAAAATATTCCACTCATTTCAGTAACCCATCATCCAAAAATATTTCAGTCCTTTCAGTACTGTCATCAAAACACATTTGTCATTTCAGTAATCTCAGTCATCCAAACACATTTCAGACAAGAGTCGACTAATACTGAAATTTTGTTATTTTATGGTTGCTTCATTATTTATCAACCCTGTCTTTGTTTTAGAGTCCGGAAAAAATCAACCCTGTTTTTTAAGAAAAATAAGATGAAGATCATCAACAAAATGGAGAATAGAACACAAACAACAACAATTCAATTGGAATCCATGAAGAAACAAGGACAATGTGAGAGAATGAAAAGACGCTAAAATAGAGTGATTGTCCGTCTGTCTCTCTCTCTCTCCTCTCCGTCTTAGTCCACAGTTGTGGCATGAAGCTGTTTGATGCTGTAGAAAGTGACTCCATCGCCCATTGTGAAGTTCATCTTCAGTTGTGAGTGTGAAATGACAATGACACAATGACCCTTCTTTTTTTCATTGGGACATAAAACTGCATTCCCATTCTGATCAACAGAATGATGACCCAGATAGACATTTTTTTATTTGGACTATCGAGAGAACATGCATACCCTATTTGTTAAAATCTCATTAACTGGTATTGGGATCGTGTTTCTCAAACCTTTTGTAACATGGACAGGCAAGCGAAGGTTTTGCCTTTACTAAGGACCCACAAGCTATGGTCCTTCTCTCTTGGGGGACCACTTACATTAAAACTAGCACTTGAGAACTGACTAAATCAGGTACAGCTAACCATCTGAGGGACCAGTCAGCATCATCCAAGGAACTGGTCGGTCCACGGACCAGAGGTTGAGAAACACTGTATTAGGATAGAGGGAGAGGGAGGTTGCGAAATAAGTTATAAGGGTCATAAGCATGTTCTTAAGCCATAACAGACACCATGAGATGCACAATGAGAAGGACAATGGACAATGTGTGAAGTGCATTATGACAAAATCCTGTTCGAACAACAACAACAACAAAAAGTTTGTGTTAATATGCATGCCAAAACAAAACCATTTTAGAGTGAGAGCAATGATATCAATCCTCTAATGACGTGAAAGCTTGGGTAAGGGTAATTTGTAAAATGTATGTATTTTATTCTATCAATTTTTATGGTGTGTGTGTGTGTGTGTGTGTGTGTGTGCATGTGTGTGTGTCTGAACTGTATGTTCATTTCATACTTAGTTAAGAATGACTGTAATTTTTGTTAGAAAAGTAAATGCGTTTTAAATTATGGACATTTAAGATATTCTACTTGTATGTGTACATTTTGAAAACAACTGTTATGATTTGAATTAATATTAATAATGAAGAGTAGTGCTGATAATTTAAAATGATATAACAATAATGATAATGATTGTAAAAGCTGCAATTAAAAAAGACCTGTAAAATGGATGGAAACTAAGTGTATGTAATTTTTTGTTCTGCATTATATTTCCTCTTCCAAATAAGGTTACAGAAGGTCAACAGGAAATGAGAGGTTACTTGATGTGTTCTTGATTTTTTTTATCCTTCCCTCGTATCAGGTTCCCACTGGGCACAAACTGGTTGAATCAACGTTGTGTCAACGTAATTTTATCAATGTATTGTGACGCGGAAACTACATGGAAAATACATTGAATTTGAAAAAAGTTATCAATGCATCCAAACTGTTGTTTTGAGGGTGACATTTCAATCACAGGATTATGTCATCATTGTAACCAGTTTTCAACATAGACAAACCTTGTATAAAATATGTTGAATTTGTACCTTTTGAAACAACGTCAGATCTTCAACATTATATCCACTATCAGAAAAAACAAAACAATAGGCTGAGCAGCACCCCCTACTGGAGAGTTGATCTATCTACAGCTATTCATTTGGTCTCCCATCCAGGGTTTTAACCAAGCCCTACTTAGCTTTAATATTTGTCACTGACTAATAGCAATGTGCTATTGTGAGAATAATTATTGAGAGATCTCTTGATAACTAAATAGATTCACTGTTGCTATTGAAGTCATTCCAAAGGGTAGGTTTAACAGAGCAACTGAAATGTGCCCACACTTTAAAAGTCATATCGTCAATGATACTATTAAGGCCCATATAGCATTTGTAAAGTAATCAACCTCTACTGTTTGAATTCAACCCAGACCGGGCCGGTTCCAGGCATAAGCAGTTTTAGGAACTCAGTCGGGGTCTCAGCTTACTATTGAGAGGAAGAATAGTAGAATACACCAGGTGCAATTTCAAAATGTGGATGTGTATCAGCAGTTTTTTTCTTGGTATGCCAGTCTCTGACAGTCACTCAATTAGCCCTGTCAGCTAACAATTTTTAGATTGGTAGTTAGTCTAGCCAGATATCTAAACTTGTGGTAATCATGGCCGAATACCGACCGGGCACGCAGGGCACTTGCCCAGGGGCCCTGACCTCCAGGGAGCCTGTCATGCCAAATAATGTCCCCCAGCCAAAAAGTGTCCCCCCCCCCCCCCCTGGGTCATAATGGGATTCGAAAAACTATTAGTGTCAGTTGCTATAGCAACGGTGTGATGACCTAATACGTCGAATTTTGGATGATCATTACAACCTAAATTACATTATGTTCATCCCCGCTATGTTAAACAAAGCTGATGTCCACGATAAGCTTGCTGTTTAAATGAGTTTTGTTTAGCTAATAAGATGAAAACATCACTTCGAACTACTTTTGTGTACCTTGTTAACATTTCAACAACATGAAATCAATGTCTTAAACGTTGCTACGTTCCAGAAATAGCAAAGAAAATGTGTAATCTTAAAGTCAGCTAATTTCCACTCCATTCATATGCAAATCAGTTTGATTCACACACTGGCTTGTCTGGCTGGCATGTTTTTATTTTGAGCTGCCCTTATCTTGTTTTTTCAAATTTAATTTCAGTACCCTATTATGATTCTTTTTTTTTTTTTTATCTCACTTACCTCATTAGTACACCCTTGTGGTTGAATATATATGTACATATTATAGGTCCTAGGATTCCATAATGAATAATGTTGAACTAACAAATACCATCAAGGGATTCGTTACAATTTACAGCAATGAACACCTTGTGAAACAGCTGTGAAAACCAAGCTGGCAATATTTACGATTTAAATATATAAACTTGTATATTTTTGTGGTACAGGCATGTCATTCATTTATTTTCACAGATTTTTTTTGAACACTCAAATGGCAATCAGACTGAAATACTTAATTCTGGTGTGTGGAATATAGAGGTGGTGGGTGCTGTGTGGTTGGGAGGTTCTGCCTGTCACTTGTTCTCAACAGGCAGCCAGTCCTGGAAGAGGGACTTGAAGAGGGAGACTGTAAAGTCCAGGCACTGCTGCGCTCTTTGTTCTGAGTGTTTGCAGTACTAGTGTTTTTAGTTAATCTGTGTATCTCACATATTATGTGCCCAGTATGATACGGCTAGCAAACTTTATTAGCAGATAATTACAATAACTGTAGCTTTAGATGATGTAATGAAACGTTGGAGGGTGGTTGGTAATGGAAGACATCAAGTGGATCCACAACTGCGTGTTAGGCAGAAACCCTTAGTTCCTGGAGAACAGGAACAGAGTTAAAGTGAACCGGGGAGGAGACAAACGCAAACAAGCAAAGACACAGGCTACAGGTAGATCAGGTATGTACAAATACAGTTATTGATTGATTTAATTTCAATTCAATGTTCGATTAAACATGCAATAATGTTAATGGCAGACATAGAAAAGAAAGAAAGGATGCCTGTCTGATGGGAGGAGGTTTCCAGAGATGGAGAAGGGAGGAGGGGATGGGATGAGCGGGCAGAGTTTTGGGCAATCAGACGTCATTAGATGCAGAATTTCGTCTGGAGGGAGAGGAGAGGAAGAGTTAAAGGATGAGGAGAGAGGGAAGAGGCAGAATCAAGAGACAGGTGCTGCGGCTAGTTCTTCCTGTCACTTGTCCTCGACAGGCAGCCAGTCTCAGTCAGGGGTGGTGGGATGGAAAAGCAAACATTAAGGATATTCATTTTCAATAACATGGGCCTGGTTTAGTTGGAAGCCCTCTCACCACGTCAAGGTACAGGCCGAGAGAAGGTTTTTTAAAATATATTTTTTACCCAGTGTCACACCCTGGCTCTGGGACTCTATATGTTGAGCCAGGGTGTGTATATTCTATGTGTTGTGTTTCTATGTCGGGATTCTAGTTTTGTATTTCTGTGTTGGCCAGAGTGGTTCCCAATCAGAGGCAACGAGTGTCAGCTGTTGCTGGTTGTCTCTGATTGGGAGCCATATTTATAGAGGCTGTTTTCCCACAATAGTTGTGGGATCTTGTTCCAGTTGGTTTGTTCCTTTTGGTCTGTACCGTAGGACTGCACGTATCGTTTGTTGTTTTGTTCGAGTGTTTACTCTCTTTAAATAAATATGTTTGCCTGCAACGCTGCGCCTTGGTCCACTCTCTCTAACGATCGTGACAGAAGATCCCACCATACCAGGACCAAGCAGCGTGTCCAGGAGCAGGCGGCCTGGACATGGGAGGAAGCGCCGGGAAAGGAGTGGAGAGGTTGGCGATGGCCCAGGTGGGCAAATC